CTTAACTTCATCCAATGATTTTGTTATCCATAAGCTAAGGTTCTTAACCTTCGGTTCCTCAAGCATAATTCATCACATTATCTAGGTAAGAATAGAAGGCTAAATCAAAGCATATTCACTGTAACCCAAAAGTTTTAAAGCTGTTAACAGTTATTTGCCGTTAGGATAACACCACTCGTCACGCTTGAAAACACACTTGAATATGTGTTTGATTGTGTTAAATAAAAACAAAAAAGGAGTTTTTACGTCTCAATAATAGTTAGTGATAATCTGTTGTGTCTTGTAAGTTTGAGATTTTTGTTGGAGAAATTTTCTTGCACATTTTTTCGCTTGAAATTGGACTTTATTGCACCTTGGAGTAGCATTTCCCGGCTGCTTCGATTTATCTTGTGCATGAAAAAAGAACCGTTGATCGTTTCATTTTAGCGCTTTTGCGGCTGAAATCATAAGAAATATAGAGGCTCTCGTCGTCACATGTTGTTCATAACACAAGAATATTCATTATTATTGATGGCTTTTATTATAGTGGTGAATGTTGTGACATGTTACCACTTTGTAGGCGACATAATTCATGATGCCTTCAGAATATTCCTTCCTACATCGGCCATGTTTCGTGTGTATACCATCCCACAATGTGCACTTCCATTCCTACATATATTATTAATTATTAATAAATAATAATTCCATGCCAAAAGACACTTGCTTTGCATTATTGGAATAGTCTCAATTCTATAAGCTTTTGGTTTTTATGGGTTTTATTATGCAAACGACCCACCAGGTCAGAGTGGGGAACATCATATTGCCCTCAGCTAAATTTGACCAAACCGCGCATGAGTTTTCTATATGACGCGTGACTTCTAATGAAATTCATAATCCTCAAATAAAAAAATTAAGCGGGTAAGTCTTAGATATTTATAAAGTAGCTGCTTTTTTTCTGCCAAATATCAAATAAATGTTTGGATTAATTTAAAATAAGTGCCCTTACATTTTATGAAACAAAATTCATCACACACACATATCTCCACAATTCAAATGGGCAATTAACATTGTGGATTAGTAGCACCATGACAATTTTTGGATGCATTCTAGTCTCCTTTGATTGGGTCTAGCAAAATAATTTTTACTATGGAGATATTTAACTTAATTTGAAGGGTAAACGTGCAGTCTCGATTGCAGCAAAATTAAAAAAAATTATGAGTAAAAAAAACAGGATTACACAGGAAATTGCACCATTAAGAAAATTAGGATGCTACCCAAAAAATGAGATTAAGAGTAAAATTGCAGCTTTACTGAACTGTGATTTCTTGATTAAAAGAGCCCATGGGTTTATGAAATCAGGGATTAGCTTTGGTAGTTAATTGTTAACAAATATAAAATGAAGCCCCACGTTGCATCAACCCGAGTAGTTATCTTAATTCTTGGGCCGGTCGCTGGTTTTAGAATAGCATTATCATTTTGCCGACACGGCCCCACCAACCTTTATGTACAGTGACACGCGTGCGGTTATGGGTGGAACACGTCTCCCCTGAAATGAAGTCATCCGAGTAGAGTAAACGGTAACCAACGAAGTAACTGTCTAGTGTCTACTTTCGGCCTTCTGGCCCCACCAAAGACACCCCCTCCTCCTCGTTCCTGTCCCTTCTCCTCATACTTGTCAGCTGCTGAATTGTTCTTTGGTTTAATCATAGGGTGATTTCTCAACCGACAAGTAATTACTAATTAGCCCCCTCCCAGATTTTTAACATGGTATTTATATATTTTATGCTTTGACTCGGTTCTCTTGTCTTTTAGTTATAAATTCATCGATATTGACACGTCATTCAATCAAAATTCCATGATTAATTTTACATCTATTTTATTCATATTAAATGTATATAGACTAGCTTACTTGGCATGATTCTAGATTGTTCTTCCCTCCCAATCAAGCTTTTGCAGCTTGCTCTCTGACCCACCTAATTGGAATCTTTTCTATGTCAACATAAAGCAAGACCTAATATTCATGCATCCTCATAATACACTAGTACTCCTCCGGTCCTTAATATAGGACCCAATTATTGAGTTGGTTTTGGTCCTAAATATAAGACCCATTTATCATATTATCAATTTTCTCTAATTACCCCTATAGATACTCCTCAACTATAATCAAGTAGAAGAGGAGATGAGGTATTAAGAAAGATGATTATGGTGTTTTAGGAAAAACGCATCACATTTCTCATAATTAACTAACTTACCTAACTTCCTTAATCTAATCAAATTAGTTAAATGGGTCTTATATTAAGGACCGGAGGAGTATCATATAAGCGTGAGATCATTTTATAGATTTGTGCACGTAGACCAATTTATTTTAATTTAAATATTTTGTTAAATATTCACACACATATTATAATTATAATTACATTGACTGACTGGTCTTATTCATTATTTATGCAGCTGAAACGGAGTGTTCTTTTATCTTTAACATAGATCACCTAATTAAACTTATTATACGAATGTACGACTTCATTTTTATTTTATTATTTTATCGAGCGTTAGTTTCTTAGGCTTCTCATTAAAGTATATATATTGGATATGTACTCCTCCGGTCCTTATTATAAGACCCCATTTGACTTTTTATTTGGTCCTAATTATAATACCCCAATCCATTTTGTCTCTTATATTTATGCATTTTTTCAAGATAATCCTTCTAATAATGATAGTTTTAGCCAATATACTTAATTAGCAAGGATATTTTAGGAATGCGAACACTTATTTATTATAAATAACCAACTTAACTTACTTCTTTAATCTCCTCAAATAAATCAATTGGGTCTTATAATTAGGACCGGAGGAGTATAAAGTTAGAAAAATTGTTAAATATTTCATAAATGCCTTATAAGGATGGACACGAGGCTGCCTCATTTGGCAAACACCAATGAGGTGTTATTGCCTTATTGGAATATGGTTGAACCAAACAAATGAAGCCACTAACACGCAATAGTCATATAAAAAATACAAAACTGCCGTATGGAACTTGACTAATGACGGTGCTCTTTGCCTTGGTCGGGATTCGTTTTAGATATTTATGGCATCACTAAACAATATAGTAGTGTTTGACTAAATACGAAAGTGTGCGGGTGTGAAACGTTTGGAACAAATAGATCCCACTTCACTTACCACCGAACTTTTGATTGTGGAAAAAAGTCAACTCCTTTTTTCATGTGTAATGTGAGAACATTATGAATATAATTTAAATTAATGAGTGAGTGCGCACATTTGATTTTTAAAACCGGACACGTAAATCCATATTCATTGGATTAATCTTGAAATAAGACACCACCACCATGGTGCCAACTCCTCATAGGTGCCGTGATTCTCTTTTTTCTAAAGTAACATTATTATTCGCCCCTGCTTAGTGTGTATGATTGAGGTTAACCCTCATAACAATCAAAAGCATCCGTGTCATTTTTTTTTTGGCCCATAAAAGTATATCGATCAATGCGTTCATCATATAAAAAGCATAAAATAGGGGAAAAAAAATGTAACCCTGTATAAGAATCAAGATATACATTTTTTTTAAAAGAAAAAAGAACAATGGGTAAAGAATAGACTTTTTCTTTTTCAAGTAGAAATATATGCTTTATTTTTATATTTAGTGTTTATCATACCTTTTCTTAAGTGTCATGATTTTCATGACTTGAAACCCCTTTAAATTTTTCAAGGACATATAAGCAAATATATTTTAATTATATTTTAAAATTTTATACTAAGGGTTTTATAAGTAAGAAAACCAATCTCGTTAAAATGAAGGAAGATTAGTCAAAGATCCTTATTTTAAAATTTTATTAGCCAGAAGACCTTGAAATCTGACAAAAATATAAAATTTTCCAAAGTAGAAGTACTTTGAGCAACAAAAAAAAATCAAGTATTTCTAGTTAATAAAATTTTTAAATACAAAATTTTCACTGATTTTTTTTGCCTCAAATTGTACAATCTTGAATCTTCTGATAAGGGGGTTAAAATTATTTGATTGGTAAGTGTAAGTGAAATAATTTGATCGTTTAAGAAGGACATTTGAATTTTTTTTTTTTTTTACCAGCAGAAGGACATTTGAATTTGAATCATGAATAATTGGGGGGGGGGGGTTTAATAAAAAGAAAGCATAGGATTAGGGAGTTCAGAAGAGTCCAAAAGCAGCCATAAATATCTAGCAGAAGCGGACAACCAGTACTGTTATTTTATTGCCTCCGCGTCCCGTCAACCATCCCTACTTTCCAACGCCCAATTGTCATTCATTCCTTTCCCTCTCCTCCACCCGCCCCCTGCTTGGTTATTCTCGTCATTTACCACCCCTTCACCATTCCCATTTCCCTTTTTAGCCCCCCTTCAACGACACGTGTCCGCATCCCTCCACCGTTATTTTCAATGTCCCAACTCCATGGTTTTAAGACATAACCTAATTACCATTAATTAACTCATGTCATTAGCACCTTTATCTCTTTTTTATTTTTTTAAGGACTCGTGTAATATTTAGTTTCTCAAATTTATTTTGATTTTGATCTCTCAAATTTTTTTATTTTTTATAATTCAATAAAAATTTAAACTATTTTTCTTTTATAATTTAAAATTTGAGAGGTTAAAATAAAAATAAACCTAAGAGATTAAAAATTATATTAATAATTAAAAAAAAATTTAGACGAGTTAAGTTGATTGATAAGGCTCCGCTACGGATTGCCTATTAACTCATGCACCGGAATATGTATTTTGTATTAAAATAAAATTTAAGAAAAGAGTTTTTGGTATTTGAAGTAAGTATTTATTTTGTCAAGTGGGATGACAGAGAGACAGTGAATCAAATACATGCATGTGAATGGAGAATGGAGCATGAATAGATCAATGCATGGACGGTACTGTAGACAAACGTGACGTGACACCCGGCCTGTGAGGCGAGAGGAAAATATCATCGCCACGTCAGCTCACAATCCTGGCTTCTTAGAGCTCCTAAAGATCTTCCCAATCTCTTCCCCCCCTCTCAGTAAAACCTCCGCCACCTCTCTAATCTTCCCAACCCATGCACCAAATATTTTGGTTATACGAGTTAACGACTCCCATTTTTGCGCGTTTTAGCATATCACCCTCCAAATCAGAGCAATTAGTTTGTTAATCAATTGGTCCTGTATTTACAAAGTTTAAGGTGCGGATTTTTTTGGGAATTGTTCTGCTGCCGCATTTTGTGGTCAGATTTAGCTGTTCTCTTGCTTATTTTTGATGTTGATGCCGTTTTCTTATATTGGTTTGATTTCCCTTCATTTATGTTCTTAGATATTTGAGTGATTGTTTTCTTTAAATTCCATCTTTTTGGCTGGCTGCTGAACTGTGTGGTTCTGAAGAAACAGTTGTAATTCTCCAGGAGGATTCATTATCATTTTCTTTTCTTTTTTTTTTTCCAGTTGTATTATTTCCCTAAGATCTGCTTGTTGTTTTGTCGGACTGTTCCATTTCATACCTCTGATTCTTCTTGTATTTTTTGTTTTTTTTTTTAAAAATTCCCAGATTATTTACTTTCTCTATTTGGGAAATAAAAGAGACTAAAAAATCTCCTGTAAATTGTAAAACTTTTTGATCGGTGGTTTATAAGTGCAGAAGAATCAGGCTACTGAAATCTACTTTTGCAGGAAACTGCTGCGATTTTCTGGGAGATGCACTTGGTTGCGTTTTTACTAAATAATTTCTTCTGTTTAGTTTACAGGAGGATGAAAAAAATGGAAAAGCATGGCGATTCGCGATGCTTGATTGATTTGTTTTTCTTATTAGGTACTGAGGTACAAATATCTGTGGGCTTTTCTAGCAGGGAATGTTAAACTACGATATCTTGATCCTTGATTGGTAGCCGGTTGGCCGGATCCTGGGTTATTGGTTCTGGTATCAGAAGTATTTCCTCTTCCATGGCTGCTTCCAGTGAAAGGTGGATTGACCGTCTTCAGTTTTCCTCGTTGTTCTGGCCTCCCCCACGAGACGGTCAACAAAAAAAGGTACCTATTACTTCGAGTCTTTATTAGAAATGTTCTAATTTATGTTTGACAGTCACTTCTGGATTTCGGTGAGAAATATTTCTAGCGGTTTATACTACGATGGTTGTGAATAAAATTCCAACATTCAATATGAAGCATGTATTTTAGTCGTTCTCAAGCATTAAATGGAGAAGAATGGAAGAGGATTTTCAGGACTTCCAGTTGTGTAGAGAACCATCCACGTGTTCCTTTTTGTGGTCGCTTTTTTTCTGGGAGAAGTAAAAGACAGTAACTTTTCTTTAAAATTTGGCACCTTATGCTTCTCAAAGTTTGATATTCAAAATTCTTAAGCTATGAGAACGAATTATGAAGTAAATACAGCGCGAGAAATGAACTTTGTTTCAACTTGAATATAATACAAAGTAAATACAAAATTATGCCAGGAAATTACTTTTCAAATTACTAATTTTGACTATGAGTATCCGTGTATAACATAAAATTTATAGGAAGTTGCATTGTTAATAAGCCATGAATAGGGTGACTTGCTTCAAGCTTCATGCAAAGCACAATCCGACAATCTAGTTATTTTTCCTCATCAGGATTCTCTTATGTCGTTGATGCTCTATGCACTGAAGGCTGGAGTTAATCAAAACATCGTCATTAAGTGGAAATCTTTAGAAGCAAATCAGTTCATCAATATATACGATATAATTTATTGGGAGCTGTACTATTTGAGTCATGAATAGTGCAGTTGACCTCAGATTCCATGCTAAGCACGGGCCCTACAATCTAGTTGGGTATGTTATTGTTAAGCGTTTTCCTTTTTATGTACATAGCTGTATGAAGGTTTTGACTTTGGGAAGTGTTGCATCAACAGTAGATCACACAACTGGCTATATTTAACCGGACAAAATCTTTTAGTACCATAGGAGAATTAAACATGCAACTTTGTGTCCTAACCCACAGCTACTTCAGCTAGCCCCAAGTTACTAACCTGGGAAATTTGGAGATAAAATGCCTAATTGCAGAGGATACTGCAACAGGAAAGTCTAGAACGTCTGAAAAATTGAATTATGCAGAGTGGAGGTGGGTTTGTGTGGAAATATAATTAGGAAGTCTTTAAACTGATACAGGCTAAGCTGTGAGATTGCTTGGAACTGGAAAATGATTTTGCAATCTTTTCTTTATGTAGTTTCTCATCTATTTTTCTGCTAAATTCATAAGTTTTTTGTTAGTAATTTTTTCATGTGAAAGATTATTGGATATCTATTTACTCCATGCTTTAGACGTCAGATAGCGGCATAATCATTTTGTGAATAAGTGTTCCCTAGTCTATGTTCACGGTTTATCATATCTTCTTTCATATCAAAAGCTCATAATTGTTATTCCATATCTTTGTTTCTTATGACATACTTTAATGTTGTCCTAGGATCAAATTGCTGCCTATGTTGAGTTCTTTGGTCAGTTCACGTCAGAACAATTCCCTGATGACATTGCTGAGGTTTGGTGCATACGCCTTCATTTATGGACAATATTTTAAATTTCAAGAGATATATTCACAAATTAGTCTTATTTTAAAATCATTGAGATTTTGATTTTTTTTTTCTTTTTTCATACAAGAGTTGTATCAAATGTTGTTCACTTGCTCAGTAATCTGTATGACCTTGGCAGTTAATCCGGAACCGGTATCCTTCGAGGGAGATGCTGCTATTTGATGACGTTCTGGGTATTTATGCTTTAACCCATGTTAGTTTATGCTGTGGCTGATTCAAAGAAAATATTTTGACAATGAACTTGCTTTTGTTTCATGCATAACAACTTCCTATGTATTGACATTTCATTCAGCAACTTTCGTCCTTCATCATCCTGAGCATGGTCATGCGGTTGTGCTTCCGATTATTTCATGTGTTATTGATGGGACTCTAGCCTATGATAAGACTAGCCCTCCATTTGCTTCTTTCATTTCCTTAGTCTCCCCAACAAGTGAGGTAAAATCCCTTGGCTGATGTTCTCATTTTATTCACCAGATTCAATGAAACAGGACATATGTCTTGTTCATTATAAGCATTGTGATTCATGGTTTCAATTTTATGATTTAGAATATCCATTTTGTTTCAGTTTCCTATTGCTTAAGGCATCTGCATTCTGCAGAGATGTTCCCAATCAATAATTTTATATTGTTTTTTTTCCCGCAATTTGGCAGAATGAATATTCAGAGCAATGGGCTCTGGCATGTGGTGAAATTTTGAGAATTTTAACTCATTATAATCGTCCCATATTCAAAACGGAGAGACAGTGCAGCGAAACAGAAAGAAGCATGAGCGGTAGCCATGCAACAACAAGTAATTCTGTTGATGGGAAACTTGACCGTAGTTGTTTGACACAACTGGAGAGGAAACCTATAAGGCCCTTGTCTCCTTGGATAACTGATATTTTGCTGGCTGCACCTCTGGGCATCAGAAGTGACTATTTCCGGTGGTGGGTATATTTTAGTTCAACATAGAGATGAATATTTTGGTTCTTCTTTTGGTTTGGGCTGATGGTATGGTTAATCTATTTTTGGCTTTTCCTCCTAAAATGATTGACTTCTAAATCATAACGTAACTCTCTCAACACTGTTTTCATTGCTGTATTTTTTGATAACCTTATCTTGGTCTAGTAGTGTGCATAATTTATTGAAGTATGGCAGGAATTCTGAGACAAGTGATTCAGCTTCAAGGGGCCTATAAAAGGATATAATATAACCTGGGATTATGATCACCTATCCTTCATCCAAAAACTATATATGAGTTCTGTAGTTTATCATCTGTTTTTTATGTTAGTAGGAACCTGCTTTCAATTAGCAAGTGTTCCAGTTCATTAAATATCTTCTTTTTTCCGTGAATTTCATCGTTTAGGGCCACCAAATTATTAAATATATTTGATTTGTCTGAAGAAGGAAGATCGAATTGTTGACATTCTGAATCTTTCCTAGGTCGTTGCTCCCCTTGAATGGAGAATAAGTGACGGTCATGTATCATAATTATGATAAATAACTTTTGTTAACTGATTTTTCTTTTTTTTCTTTGCATATAACAATTATTTACTGTTGTGGGTTAGACACTAAGTATACTTCTCCTTGAATTGACGGATACTTTCATGTATCAACAGGTGCAGTGGAGTTATGGGTAAATATGCTGCGGGAGAACTCAAGCCCCCTATAACTGGTAAATTTAGTCCTGATTCATTAATATAGAGTGCTGTTGTTATAATGGCTCGATACAATGTTGTGTCCTGTGATCTGGCAATCACACAAAAATACTTCAGGCATTTTTTTATTTCAACAGTAGTTAACTTGGTTTAATTTTATCTTGTGTTATTAAACTACATTCCAACTACTCTAACAATAAATTTGCTAAACTACTCTTTTGACTGAACTTGAATTTTGGCCCTAATGTAAGAGCTTAGGGATGACAAGACCAAGTTTTGAGGTCCTGGTTGTGATACATGGCCAAAGCCTGAAGAAAACAAAACGCCAAAATACTATTCAATTCACACCATTACATGTCTAACCGTCCCCTATTTATACTAAAATGGCCGGATAAGTTTCCTAGCAAATTCCCAAATCACCCTTTTTTTAGGTTCCTAATTACCCTTAACCTATAAATGATCCCTGTTCTCGAGGATCAAACGTCTAAAAGATAAAAAAAAAAAAAAGTGTGATGTAGGCTTTTTTCTTTTTGGAAATTTTTTTAACTTCCCTACGTTGCCAAACAAATGATATAGGATTGGTTCCATTTGCTTGAGTTTGCCACTAGCCTACCATTTTTGGCCAAATTGCCCAGTTTATTAGGGTTGTCCTTTCTTCCTCAATTCTTAGATTCTTCAACAAGACAAATTCCATACTCCACACAAGTCCTTACTTCAACATCAACACCACCGTTCCTTATCCAGCTGAGAAGAGCGTGAGATAGATGAAAATATCACCTAACTATGCCTGATACATCTGCTCCCTGCGTTTGCTCACCCTCTGAGGTTCAGGCATGTGCTTGATCTGATCCTATGTGTAATTATTTCAACGTTGAGAATAATGTCCATCTTGTTTTTCATTGCAGTGGAAGAACATGCATCTACGGTGAAGTTGAGAAGAAAGGATCTTCTAAATGATGCCATAATTCACTGAATTCAAAAAACCAAAATAACTCTTTCTAAAAGCTTATAAAAACTGAAACACAGGGAAGATTACAGTCACCTAATTTGGAAAATAGAAAGTTAATTAAAAAGAAGAAAAGATGAGGAAATCATGTGATAATGACACATTTCTCCGAGAATTTGATATTATCTTGGTGCTTATACATATGATCTTAATACATTATTGAAGTTCTTCGAAGATTTGTTCTAAGGTCATTGTAATTTTTCTTTTTCTCATAGCTTCTTCCGGTGGTTCTGGAAAGCATCCTCAGCTCATGCCTTCAACTCCTAGGTGGGCCGTTGCCAATGGTGCTGGTGTTATATTAAGTGTTTGTGATGATGAAGTTGCTCGCTATGAAACTGCTACTTTAACAGCAGTCGCCGTCCCTGCACTTTTGCTTCCTCCTCCCACGACAGCTTTGGATGAGCACCTAGTTGCAGGATTACCAGCTCTTGAACCATATGCACGATTATTTCATAGGTCATTTTGAACTCATCTACTGTATTGTTTATTAATTTTTTTTTAATTGAGTTCATCTTCCTGAGTAAATGTTCATTTCTAATTCATTTAGATATTATGCCGTTGCTACTCCAAGTGCCACACAAAGACTTCTTCTTGGACTTCTAGAAGCCCCACCATCATGGGCTCCAGATGCACTTGATGCCGCGGTGCAGCTTGTGGAACTCCTTCGAGCTGCTGAAGATTATGCATCTGGAATAAGGGTAAGCTGTATATTATTGTACGTGTATACCAAAGCTTATATTATGATGCCAAGGTGGCCATCTTTATTCAGCATAATTTTATAATACACACAATTCTCATTTTATGGTGTTCATCAACATCTTTATGAGTCATAGACAACCATCACTCTGCACATGCTATTAATACCCAGAAGAAATCTCAAATATGCGTTATAGGGTCAAAGTGCTTGTAGAAAAGTACTACATTTATAGTACTTGTAGCATATGTAAAATTATTTTAGTTAATGATTTACTCATCATTATCTATTGAAAAAAAAAAATCCATTGTACACTTGGTATGTGCATTGCATTGGGGTTACTTACTCCTGATGCCATTCTATGGTGCTCTTTTGGAGATTTTCCTGGTGGCTTTGTTAAGGATTTAAAATACAGTTCACTGATGTTTTATTTTATTTATATGTCAATGCAGCTTCCTAGAAATTGGATGCATTTGCATTTCTTGCGTGCTATAGGGACTGCTATGTCTATGAGAGCTGGCATAGCTGCTGATACTGCAGCTGCTTTGCTTTTCCGCATTCTTTCACAGCCAGCATTACTATTTCCTCCGCTGAGGCAGGTTGATGGGTTTGAAGTTCAGCATGAACCGTTGGGAGGGTATACATCATCCTACAGAAAGCAGGTACTGTTCCATCACTACTAGCTACATATTTTTCTTCGGTAACGCAGATATGTTCCTTAGCTTAATGGAGTATATGATACTCGTTCAGATAGAAGTTCCTGCTGCTGAAGCCACCATTGAGGCTACTGCCCAAGGCATTGCATCAATGCTATGTGCCCATGGTCCTGAGGTTGAATGGAGAATCTGTACCATATGGGAAGCTGCTTATGGCTTGATTCCTTTAAGCTCCTCAGCTGTTGATCTTCCAGAAATTATAGTTGCAACCCCATTGCAACCTCCATTACTATCATGGAATTTGTACATACCCCTAGTTAAGGTTCTGGAATATCTCCCTCGTGGAAGTCCATCTGAAGCATGTCTCATGAAAATATTTGTTGCTACAGTGGAAGCTATTCTTCAGAGGACATTTCCATCAGAGTCTATTAGAAAGCAGAACAGAACTAGGTACCTCTCTAGCTTGGGGTCTTCCTCCAAAAACCTTGCTGTGGCTGAACTTCGTACTATGGTTCATTCACTCTTTTTGGAATCATGCGCATCTGTAGAGCTTGCTTCACGCCTCCTTTTTGTAGTCTTGACCGTCTGCCTCAGTCACGAAGCTCAATTCAACGGAAGCAAGAAACCAAGAGGTGAAGATAGTTATTTGGCTGAAGAAATGGTTGAAGACGTAGAGGCAATGTCTGAAAACCAGAGAGAAGAAAAACATAAGAAATTGAAAAAACAGGGGCCTGTGGCAGCATTTGATTCTTATGTTCTGGCTGCAGTTTGTGCACTTGCTTGCGAGCTTCAGTTATTTCCTCTGATTTCACGAGGTAGTGGTCGTTCAATCTCCAACAATGTAGGAGATACAATTAACCCTGTTAAGATAAATGGATCTCCACATGAGTTACAGAATGGCATAGATTCAGCAATACGCCACACTCACAGAATTTTAGCAATTTTGGAGGCACTGTTTTCATTGAAGCCATCTTCTGTTGGCACGTCCTGGAGTTACAGCTCAAATGAGATCGTTGCAGCTGCTATGGTTGCTGCCCATGTTTCCGAACTATTTAGACAGTCAAAAGCTTGCATGCATGCCCTATCAGTTTTGAGGCGTTGCAAATGGGACAATGAAATTCACTCCAGAGCATCATCTTTGTACAGCCTTATAGACATTCACAGCAAAGCTGTTGCATCTATCGTTAACAAGGCAGAGCCATTGGAAGCAAATTTAATCCTTACACCTAGTTGGAAAGATTCCCTTGTTTGTTTTCAAACTGAAAAAAGTGGCTACTGTACTACTGAGCAGACATCTGTCTCGCCTTCTGAGGTTTCAGCTATTACTAAACCTGATTGTGAATCTGAGAAAACTTCATATTCAAATGAAGCATCTGGTCATGCCTTGGGCAACAGCATCGCAAGTTTTCCATTGGATGCTTCTGATCTAGCCAACTTCCTCACAAGGGACAGGCATATAGGGTTTAATTGCAGTGCCCAAATTTTACTAAGATCAATGCTGGCAGAGAAACAAGAACTGTGTTTCTCTGTAGTTTCACTGCTATGGCACAAGTTGATTGCATCTCCTGAGACTCAACCGTGTGCAGAGAGCACTTCTGCCCAACAAGGATGGAGACAGGTATTCTAAGTATAATGAAAAATTCTATTTAAGAATGAGTATTTTGTTTTAAGTATTCCAAATTGAGTAACATACAATTGATGGGCTATATAAATGAAACAAAGATACATCTAATTTAGACACATGAATTTTAGCTAAAAATATGTATATGTATTTGTGTGGATGTCTGTGTCTACATATCTGGTTTACGCCCATATTTTTGCCTTAAAAAGGTTCATTAACTGACCATTGCATATGGATCAAATGTAGGTTGTTGATGCATTATGTAACGTTGTTTCAGCATCGCCATCAAAAGCTGCTACAGCCGTTGTTCTCCAGGTCCAAATTTTTGTCTTTTTATGAACTAATTACTTAAACTTACTTTAGCCACTGGCTCTGACAAGTAGTCTATTTAAGCTATTGTCACCGTTTCTTGAATACTAAAAATTTCAGCTTTACTGTCTCTAAACTCATGACACTAGCTTAGCTTGTTTCGAAGGCTTATACATCTAACAGTGAAGATGTCATCAAACAAATATTGAAAGCTTCTATTTTTTCAAGTATTGTCTTTTTTCCAATTTGTTTAGTCACTTCCCTTGGTTTGTTTCTTGTCAGGCGGACAGAGAGTTGCAGCCTTGGATTGCAAAAGATGATGACCTCGGTCAGAAGATGTGGAGAATCAACCAGAGGATTGTAAAATTGATAGTGGAACTCATGAGGAACCATGACAGGGTAGAATCATTGGTGATTGTGGCGAGTGCATCAGATTTACTTCTACGAGCCACAGATGGCATGCTTGTTGATGGTGAAGCCTGCACTTTACCACAGCTGGAGGTAGCATTTCACACAAGTTTTTGTTTTGAATGAGTCCTGCAGTATTTCCATACCATCGTTTAAACTCAACCTCGACCTTTCTGATGCCTACATCAGAATAAAACTGTGTTGAAGCATTTACTTAATAGTGTATTGTCATTATTAATTCATTAATTCCATATTTTAAGTTGAAAATATTTATATTAACTCACTTATATTTTCTAGTACCCCTAGCAGTCATATGTTTTTACTTTTGCATAAAGGCATGTCCTTTTTTCTCTCGTGGCACCTATGCATGAAATTATGAATTTTGAAGCTTTATTTTTTTGGGATTTCTTTTGAGAGGTAGAAGTACTAGTCTTTTTTGTTTTGTATTACATGCTGTTGATTGGGATGCATTATGCATGGAGATAAATTCTTGTAAATTAAGTGTTAGGTGTGTACTCAATGATGATCTCTTAGTTCAAAGTTTCTGAGCCCTATGTTTAATATTTCATATGTTTTCAATTTAATCCAGTCTTCACTGATATTCATGTATAAACTTCTAATCTAAATGGCCAGCTATTGGAAGCAGCAGCTAGAGCAGTTCAGCCGGTGCTGGAGTTGGGAGAATCAGGATGTGCGGTGGCTGATGGCCTTTCAAACATGTTAAAGGTAGACAAACTTATTATCCACCTTTTCAACTCCTCCGCTGAATGAATTTCGTAAAAGCTAAATAAACATTACCCATTTGATTTCGGATAAGGAGGCAACTTATTAAATATAGGTTTACTTGTACATTTTTAATCCTGATAGTTTTAGTTCAATAATTAGATTTGGATTTGATTTTTGATGTTTTACCCTTTGTGCATCCATTTTGTGCATGGTTAGAGACTTGACATCGAGGACCTAAACATGGAACGAAATTTACAATATATATAATTAAAATAAATGAATCCCAGCAAATAAAAAATGAATCCTGTAGGATTTTTTTTCTCTATGCCTTCTGTGGAATGAGTTGATCAGAAAATTTCTCGGTAATTGCTGATTCAAGTAAAGCTTAGGAGTTCATGTATTGAGTGTACTGACGTGAATAATTTGGTTTATCTTTTGGAAACCCCTCTAGAATTGTAGACTGATTTGCTTGTGCAACCACATGCAGTGTCGCCTACCGGCTACTATCCGTTGCCTTTCTCATCCAAGTGCACATGTCCGTGCTCTAAGCACATCGGTTCTCCGTGACATTCTGCATGCTGGTTCAATCAGACCGACTCCTAAACCACCTCGTATTAATGGTATCCACAAACGCCACTATGACTACTACAACTCGGATGTTATTGATTGGCAGGCTGATCTAGAAAAATGCTTGACGTGGGAAGCCCGCAGACGACTGTCAAATGGAATGTCTATTAATTTTCTTGACACTGCTGCAAAAGAACTAGGCTGTACTATTTCCCTATGAATTGAAAACCATAAAGACTTGGATTATGTGAGCTTTTTATTTTCCAAAGAGTTGTAGGAACATATATTGTTTTTAGTCTGAAACAAATGGGTTTGCTAATAAACAACTTTCCATTCTGCTATTAATGGTTCCAATTTTCTTATGGCTGAGTATGACATGCAGAGAAATTGAATGTATGGGTGTAGCTTCCATGGATGGTTGAGACATCAGGCTTTCCCTTGCAGATGGCACTCTTACAAAGGCTGAAATCCTAGGTGCAAGGATCTTTTAGAATTCGTACGAGTTTATAGAGAGTGATGGAATTTATTTTTCTTTTTATTTAAATTCTGAAATTTCACTCTTGTAAAGGTACCCAATTAATCTCGGTTTCTATTCCCTAACATCATCGGCTTTAATTATTTAGTAGCGTTGTTTGTAGGTAATATAATAAATACGACTAAGGGTAACACGTCTTGTACGTAAAAGTTAACGTGTGCGATCTATCTAAACTAGTGTTTATTAATTGGCTGGAGTTAGGCCCTCATTTTTTCACAGAAAAAAAAGATAAATGATTTTTACGAAGTATCTTCTGTGTATATAATTTGTATGTATTGATTTTTTTTTGTCAAAAATTTCTTTTTATTATCAAATAAAGACTTATATAAAAATTGTAAAACAAAATTATCAAATAAAAACTTACATAAAAATTGTAAAACAAAAAAAATTAAAGAACAACAATGAAAGCCTCATTGTCCCACTCTTAGGAGTTGAATATATGAAATTGCATGGTATTATTGTGCTCTGTCCTAGACCAATTCTACCAATAAATCAGTACCCTACAGATCTTGATTAATGACTTCTTTAAATGGCTTTCTTGGTCTCTCGCATCTATTTTTATGAGAAAAGACCTCATGCTTATCCTGCCTTACTAAAGCCTCTATTAGCCTTCTTTTTATATGACCAAACCATTTTTAATGATTTTGTATCATCTTTAGGGGGACAAAAAAAAGACTTCCAATTTAATGACCAAGCTCGGTTGGCCTTATCTTCTACTTGTAGTTCGCTTCAGAAAAACCGTTAATATGCCTTCTGCAGATGCTTCAATTTGCACATATAGCCCAACAATGGAGCCCAGACCACGGGTGGATACAGTCCATGGGCCACATTCTCGGATCCTGCCATTGCAATGGAGCCCTGTTAAAGGGTGAAATCGTCAGTTCACTGTGATCTTAAGCGTAAAACCCTAGCGAGTTGTCGCTAGCGGTAGCACTTCAAATCCTACAACACACCGCAAGGAGCTTCGGCAGGAATCAGTCTTCTTATCTGCGGTTTCGGACAATTACTTTAGAGTTACACAACGATGGTAATAACACGTACTGTTTGCGTTTCCATCTGTAATGTCGATTCAGTTCGCACTTGCCTCCATTAAAGATATTACCAGTCGATTCGCCAACATTTGCTGTAGGAAGGCCGATCTTGACGTGAGCAAGAGGTTCCGTTTTATCCACTTATCTCTCTCTCTCTCTCTCTGCTCATTTCTTCTGTGAAGAAGATTAATGGCAGAATTTTATAGACGAGTAAACTTTATCTCACTTTTCCTTGAATTCTATCGAACTGGACTGGTTTGCCAGTTTATGATATATATGTCTCTCCACTTTCCCACACGGCACACTTTTTCATTCTAAGTTCAACTTTGAACAGTAAAAAAATATTATTTTGATATCAAATAGCAAAAAATATATGTAAATAAATTTAAATTACTAAAATTTGATGTAAATAGTTATGCTTCTATCAAAATATTTTTTATATTTTATATTTTTTATAGGATATTAAATTTTAACGGTTTAAAGTTAATGTATCATAGTGAGATGAAGAGATGGAGGGGAGTGAATGGTAAAAGGAGCGGAAAGGTTGTCTTCAAGCCAGTGAGCTTCTTGCCACCGACCCTGGTTGTTGTCAAGTGATTTCCAAAGAAGAAGTCCAAAGACTCAAGAATCTTGATTGTTATGTTGTGAATTTTCTATTTTATGTGTCATTTATTATTCATATATTGTACGTAATTATATATAATGCGGATATATATAATTGATATAATAATGATATAAGCCTTAGTGCTTGGTATATGTTTGATCGTGGAAATGGTATTATCATTGTATATGTTGTTGTTGGAAAGTCGTCGAGAAGAACCCCTGTCAAACAGCTATCCTCAAAGCTGCATCCAAAGTGAGTGAGAAATGGGCAAATGGAATCCAAGGCCAGTGGCTCCTGAATCTCTAATTTGATTATTGCAGTTTGATCCATGCATTTTTTTTTTAATCATAAAAGAAAACAACCAAATTAATCACCATCGAACTATACAACATACAGTTTCCACACACACATTATAATTTTAAACGTACATTTATTTAGTTTACAAACACAGTCGTCACTTCTGGTTCACAGCATTCCAAGACAAAGGCATAATCATCAAACCAATCAAACCATAACACACAAAACACAAACCAAACAACACAAGTTTTTTGTTCAAACATGTCTGCTTATGGGAACGAAATCCCCGCAGGCTTATTTATCTTTCTTTAATTTATATCTTACAGTAACCACTGTGAGGTGCTGAAGCAGCGTGGCTAGCTGTCTAGCGACGGAAGCTCCGAACCTGACGTGGTGGCTCAGCCTCGTTGTCGCGGAGCTTGACGAGAGTATAAACACCGGCACCGGCCAGAGCTCCGAGGGTGGGCGCAATCAGATATATCCATAGGTGCTTGTAATTCCCCGCTGCCACGGCCGGACCCAAGGTGCGAACCGGGTTCATTGAACCGCCACTCGCCGGCCTACCAATCGTACGTACACACACAGCCAATCAACTTCATCACTTTAAGACGACATGATTTATAAGCAATACAAAGATGAGAAGATAATAATAGAAAGATAGATGCTAACCCAGATATGAGAATGTTGAGCAACACCGTGGCTCCGACAGCAATCCCAGCCAATTCCCCAACCTACCGCCGTGGATATATTAAACAAACGCTTCAAGTTATTACGTGAACAGAGTGGCGGATTCAGCCAGAGAAAAGAGTATGATTATAAAGAATGGATCAGGAAGAACTTACAGCGCGAGTATCAGTGGCAACGGCAGTGACGACGAAGAGGAGATTGAAAGTAATAAGGAACTCGAGAGCAAAAGCCTGGCTGACTGTAGTACTCACGGAAGGAATCGTAACGCCGCCGGACATGAAAGGATGGAAGATGCCCTTGAGGGCGAAGGAGGCGCAGATGGACGCAGAGACCTGAGCGGCGACGTAGGCGGGGACATGGATCCAGGGGAAGTGGCGGAAGGCTGCGAAGGCGATGGTGAGGGAAGGGTTGAGGTGAGCGCCGGAGATGTGGCCGGTGGACAAGATTATGATCATGACACCTAAGCCGGCACAGGCTGCGTTGCCCAACAGGCTCTCAGCTCCGTTGTATTTCTGGTTCAGGATGGGACCCGCCGACGCCGCAAACATCAGTAAGAAGGTGCCCACAAACTCTGCTCCGATCTGCCATTTTGCTAACTCCACTCTCAGTGGTTGTCATGCATTTGACTTTGTAGCACATGATTTAACCAACGTGACAATAAATGTCTTTTCTTCTTCTTCTTTTTTCTTTAATGCGTAGAGTAGCATTTAAGGTTATCCTTCACTTGCATTAACATTACGATGTTTTTTCTAGTTTTTTCCATCACTCTTATTTACTTAAATTGCATCAACACATAAACCATAAAAAATTGAAATCCTTGATGTAATTAAAGAATAAAAAATAATAATATTAGAGATGCTGGAGACGGATACATTAGCAAAACAACATTAAAGTATTAGATACATTATAAATAAGATTAGAATATTAGATGTTACTGAAAAACAATAAAAAAAAATCCTAAAAAACTACCTCTTGAATTTCAGAATTCCCAGTCAGTTTTATTTATTACACTTTAAAAACAATTGACTATATTTAAAAAGCAAATAACAACATATTTTTGCAGTAATTATTGATTTGGGATTTTAAAATTTAAGAGGTATTTTTTTGGATTTTCCCAAAAGCAATATATCAAAGTAATGTTGGTATTTTATCTTTTTTAAATTTTTAATGACAGACACTAACCACAGAAGGTTATAAAGCAAAATCAAATTGCGACGACTTTCTATTTATATTTATAAAAAAGGCTTGCATGTGACACAGTTTGAAGAGGAGAACAATAAAAGTCTTTAAAGATATGCGTTTGTCAACAGAACAAACCCCACTCAACTCGCAATATAACGCAACGTTTAAGTCATTAGATTTTCTATTATTTGATAGCACTTTGTATTATTGAGAGAATCTCATCCTTATGAACTGAACTCCAACCATTTGGTATGGTTGATAATATTGTGTTCCCGCTTTGTTTTCTTCCTACTCGCTGTTTTTATTTATATGAATAATTAATATTTTTTTAATCACAAGAGAGTGGTGGGTAAACTTGACATATCAAGTGTCAAACTTAATTATTTGTTCCCTCATAAACAAAAGAGATTATAAAATTAAATTTAAAAATGTTTCAATGGTTAATTACACATTTAATTGTGGCATAAGATCGATCATATTTAATTTGTTGTATTTTTCTCTTTAACGAAATGGTTAACAAATTATATAAACAAATTGCATGCATTTATAAAATGTAGATACTTTATATACTCTTTCTAGTCCTGTATAAATTAATTGATATGATGACATGTAACTAATGAGGAGAAAAATAAAAAAGATCGGCTAAAATTTTAGGTATTCTTTAAGTATATATGTTGTAAATAAAATTATACCTATTTAAAAATTGTATCTTATATATAGAATTAAAGAGGGTACTGTGGGAAAAGATAAAAGGCAATGCATTGAAGGCCATAAGTAGTAAATGAAAATGTTAGAAAATGATTTTTTGAAAAAAAAAAGTCAGAGTGAGGTCATGGCTGGCTTCGGATAATGAGGATGCCGCCCATTGTTAAAGTCTGAATGAATGATTTTTCAAAAAAAAAAAAAAAAGGCAAAAAGACAGAGCATTAACTTAATTCTGTTTAAGAGTAACTAAAAAATAATAACATAAATCAATATACCAATCTTAAACAACTTAATATCAATAATCTTTTATAATATTAATATTAATATCAATCAATATATTAATATATGAAATATTAGTAAATTTATAACAAGTCATTTTTGCATATATGTCCTAACCTATATCAAATTATCAATATAACGTTGGCAAAAAAAAAAAAAATCATATCATCAGTATATCAATATGCAAACTACATAGAAACAAACACACGGGTTTTTTTTTTTTTTTGGGACAGAAACACACACGGGTTTATGCATTACATGTTACGTATGAACACTTTGACTTTTCATAGATTACTACTCATGATTGATATTTTGAGCCACTTCTATCTCTCCAAAACTAACAAAAAAATAGCTAATTTATTAACGTTGTCAGAAAATGAATTATTTTTAAAATGCTCTATCAGTCTTCATTTAATAAATTATAACTGGGGTAATATTTAGAAAAAAAATATCAGTAACCCCCTAAACGATTTATAGATAAAAAAAAAGAAAAAGAAGACGACCTATACTTAGAACCGAAAAATATACGGGAGACTTAATTACTTTCAATTTACAAGATGATTGGAATGCTAAAGAAAAAAAAAATTAGAAGATGGTTTTTAGAGTGATTTAAAATGTTTGTAGAAACATACCTTGCGCGTAAGAGACACATCGGGGACAGAGAAATCAGCGAAGCAGGTGTGGCTCTTTGTTGGCAAACACTGGCACCTCGGCATTGAGTTCCGGTCGTATGACAGAGAGTCCACGTGCAGCGACGTGAAAAGCGGCGCCGGAGTCCCCGGCGTCGCAGGTGCCGACGCTGCCGTCGGCGTCCCCATCTCCGATTCCGCCATTTGTTTTTCTGTTTTCTATAAAAGCAAGGAAACTCGACCAAATTGATGCAGATTAAAAAAGGAAAAAAAAGGATATATGCCCAATTAAGCGAATGCTACTTCATTTTTCAAACTCGAAGATTAAACGCAGTAACTTTTTTTTTTTTGTTTTTTTTGGGAGTGTGGAAGAAATGAAAGGCTACAGTTACATAATTGGAAGGTTTTTGTAAATGTGTTTTCTAAGGAATAATGAGACAGAACAGCGGACCCAGATTGAAAAGCTTGATCAGAAACTCAGCTGTGGAATTGCAGGAGGATATTCATAATGATAAGCCTAAAAATCAAACTTTTTTTTTTTTTGGTTTTTTGAGTGGGGATTGAAAGAGGATGAGACTGAAGTTACATAATTGGGAGGCTTTTATAGAAGTTTGTCTAAGGAACAGAAGGAGAGAAAGGATCCAGAGTTATGAACTTAGAATGAAGCTTAAGCTAAGAGAGAAACAGAAAGAATCGAAGGTGCATCATGCATGAGCGTGATGTGTGCAGATGGGGGAAGGAATAAGAGAAAGCTTGTGAAGATGGAGGAAGGTAGGTTGGCTATGGAGATGGAAGATGGTTGTGCAGACAAAAAGCAAAAGCAAGCAGAAGAGAGATGATCACAGAGAGGTCAGCGTGAGAGAGAAAGAGGGGTTGGGGAAGATGATTATATTATAGGGGAGGAGAGAGAAAGCCAGTCGGTGACAAGCTTGTGTGATACACGAATCAAGGTCGAGCACTTGGATTATTTTATGCATTAAAAAATGTCAAAGCCTCCCTCAATTATTCATTATTATATACCAATATATCAACTCATTTGCCGTTGCCCATACCTTTTATATGTTTCTTAATTCATACTTTCTTCTTTTTGTTGGAGAGTTGAATGATTAGTTTATACTATAAATATCAGGAGAAATCTTAAAATTTATTAACACACGCTTTTTTAAATTACCGGTATTCTCAACAAGGTTTTCACTTTTCCACCTTAATATTGAATATAGGAAAAATGAAAAAATCATGATAAAAATGACAACAAATTATTCTTCATTTCAAATATATTATAAATAGGACATAAGAGACCATGTTTTTTCGCCATAATTTATACACTAATTATACTCTTCATGGAGAATAAGACTTTAAGAAAGACACTTTGGCGTCATTAGGCTAGGAAATCTCGACAGATAAAAGAGAATATGTTTGAAGAGCCCTTGAAATCAGCTAGCTAGCTTTATAAAAATATCCCACATATGGACTTTACTTTTTTCCAAAAAAAAAAAAAAACTAAAATGCATGTCCTAGGTTATATTGTGAACTCTTTCTAAATGTATTTATTATTGCCAAGGTTTCTTCCCAGATAATCCTCTCTTCCATTATTCATAAATGATACTCCCCGAGTCCTATTTATAGGGTGCTAAGAGAAATTTTATATAAATATACATTTTACCTGTCATTTATTGTCGTATTGGTTTTGTTAACACAAGGTATAATGTAAATTAAATAAGAATAAAGTTAGAAAGTTGAATTTTAAATGAGAGTTAATGAAATTTAAAGTTTTTATTGATTTGTGTAAAACATATTAGAAGTGACTTATGAATAGGATAAGACGAGTATATTTTTGTTTGTTTTGATGATTAATGAAGGAAAGAAGGAGTTGGCAAAAAAGAAAGAAGGGAAGAAGAAGGAAAGAGCAGGGGAAATGAAGTTGAGCTAGTGGGTGAAGGTTGGGAAATGATGAGAGTTGAGAGAGAAAGCGACGAGTCGGCGACTAGCAGCTTCAATAATAGACCAACCCACCAATAGAAATACTATTCCTTGAATTAAAAAAAGTCAAAGACTGTCCTGCTTCAATTCTCCCTCTTTGGATGGTACCAAATCTTTAATCTGTCAATTTTAGAAGCACTACAATAATACAGAGAGTGCCTTCCCCCATTTAGCAATAGTAGTTTTGTTTGATTTATAATGATGTTTGTGTTGAATCCAGAAATTCATTCCCAACGTACGTTCTATGCATTGTCTTTTCTATATACATAAATAGAAAATATATCTTCTCCTCCGGTCCTTAATATAGAACCCAATTCTTGAGTTGGTTTTTGTCCTAAATATAAGACTCATTTCTCATATTTATCAATTTTCTCTAAATTACCCCTATAGATACTCCCTCAACCATAATCAAATAGAAGAAGGAGAGGGGTATTAAAAAAGATGATTGTGATGTTTTAGGAAAAATGTGTCACTTTTATTATAATTAACTAACTTACCTAACTTCCTTAATCTAATCAAATTAGTTAAATGGGTCTTATATTAAGGACCGGAGGAGTATATAATTTGACGTGGGAATACCCTTTTATCATCATCGTCATCATACTTTATTTTTTTCCCAATCTTGCCCCTCCTTATTAGCAACATGCAAGTTAGTGACATACTTTTAATTCCTAAGCAACACTTTATTATGGTCATTGATTTCACTCCTTCATATTGTGAAATTAGCGCTAAAGTGTGTGTGTATATACATAATTGGTTACTTAAGTTTTACTTCAAGTTTCAAGTTTCAGTTTAATCCCTTAAATTTATAATGTGTATTTTTAGTTATATGTTAACAAAATTAGTTTCATTTAATGTTAAGTAAGACTAAAAGTGTTAACATTAATGACTATAAATACACTTTAAGCTTAATGTAAATTTAGCTGTGAAATTAGTTGACTTTATTTATTTAAGCTAAACACCGTGCATGCACATACATACTACAAATTTATGGAACCAAGGAAAAAAAGAGTGGACATAATTTAAATAGAAAATTGAATTCTATAGGACCTTTTAAACTGTTCTTTAGTTAGGGACCCTGTGAATGAATTTCATATTCATTAACAATCAAAATAGCAATTTAGCAATGTATCTTTCTAAATTCAGTCCATAGGTTAAAAAAAAAAAAAAGAGAAAATTTGTACCTTTGGGCAAAATTATGAGAGTGAAAGGCTTGAAAATGAAATTAAGAAGCGACGACGTGCTACTGGCGGTTTGGCGTTTAACAGTAAAATCCGGTGGGATAAGGATTCAACTTGCCACCATCAAATTAATTCGTATAAATGCATGGATTATTAAAAATAATATATGTGTGTGTGTATATATGAAGATTTAAATCAAAAGTATAGGATAACCCATGCGTATATTATATACTCCTCTGAAAGAAGAGGATAGAAAGAGAAAATTTTTATATAAATATATAATTTTACTCTTCATTTAATATCATGTTGACTTTGTTCTAATCAGGTATAATATATACTAAATAAGAATAAAATTAGAAAATTGTTAAATTCTAAATACGAGTTAACAAAATTTAAGAGTTTTTTTATCTATATAAAATATGATAGAAATAATTTATAAATAAGACCAAAGAATTAAGGATCATGTAGACTGAAGCATCTCAATTCTTCCATCGTTCTTGTCACGTTCTGTTTTTCTCGACCTCCTTTTTTAATACTAAGAGCCGTACACCTTCGACAGAAGAAGATAATATTAAAAAAATAAAAGGAGAAAAGTAAATATCTTAATTTTCCTAATGTGATGGCTTATACGCGGGCCGTTGAACTTCTCCAATATCTTAATTCTATTTTTGTTATTATTAATATTATATAAATTGTACATATCACTATGACAGGGTGTAGCTTGTAATTACATAAAGAGTATCCTTTTTTCAAAGTACCATAATTTATTATTTATGAGAATTCAATGTATTATATAGGATTTGAGGTGGAGATAAGCATGGGACCTCTTTTGTATTGCATAAGCAATTATTATTGCTTTGATTAAAAAAAACAAAAGCAATTATTATTGCTGCTTTAAAGGTCACATTTCTCCGCACGTTCCTCCCTCATTTTAAGGGATCATCAATGGCGGATTTAGAAACTAATGAATTATTATTATTTGTTTTAGAGGTGGACCGAGAGGTAATTAAAATAAACTAACCATATATCACAGCTGGGCCAACATTGATTAAAGCATTTTCCTGATTTCCTCCAAGCATATACTCCCTACTCCCTTTGGTTTTGTATTACTCATTGATCTATTCTTTTTAGAAGATCCTTTTAATTAGATTATGTAATTTAAGAAAATAATTTAAATTAGTTAAGCATAATAAATATGTAATAATTACTTATATATAGACTCAAACCAAACCTTGATTCTTTTGGCCTTGAAGACGAGGATAAAGGTTGGAGAGCATGTTTCCAGCTACGTCATATATATATATGCACATAAGGGAAAAAAAGAAGATTGTGTGACACCCCACTTGGTAAGTTACTGTACTTTTCATTATTTATGATATGATTTTTCTGACCAATTAATGACGTGGACCTCAGCCGTATTTAATTAACTCAAAACGTACGGCAATGAAACTGAAGTGCTGAAATCAACCGTGAGCCACTAAATAAAAAAATTATAGGGGAAAAAAAAAGGGAAGAAGAGAGGTTAATACTTAATAGAAAGAGGAAAGTGGGACTATTTTAAATATAAGAATCAAAGAGAGGCATCAAATGTGGAGCCTTTATTTGATTTGGCATTCACTTAATTTACACTAAAATAACAGCTAGCTTTCATTTAACAAATCAAAATGCTGAAGTTTTCTAGACTATTCTACCAAACTTTAGAATAAATTATTTTGCCAATAGCCTTAATGATAATCTAGGTGGCAGAACTCAATTTAATAATGGATTTAACAGGGATAAATCAATTTGTTTATTTTTTTCACGAATATCAATTTGTTAGTTTAAAAGTAGAGGAGAATGATGGATTTTATTTAAGTCAATTAACTTGTGATTGAAATTGTGTGAATCTAAATTTAAAATAATTTAGCTAGTAATAAAAGTTTTCGCTATTTAAGCAAGTGGTTATGTTTAAGTTGGAAGGAGTCTATATCACCATTAACTCACCTAATAAATAGTGTGAAATTCTCACAGCAGCAGATGCAGATGAAATTTTAGATGGTATGAGAAATCAAATCTTTATAAATTTTGCCGAAATGGAAGGTCTAGAGTAATACTCTTTGTTGACGGATTCTCCATTAAACTTCCAATGAAACAAGGACAAATTATACGAAAGGTTCTGATGCAGATTCAATTGATTAAAACCAATATATATATCTTTTCTTTTGTTCTGTGAAGGGAAAGGAAATTGGATTACTCCAGAAACACTATACAAGCGGATATTGTAGCAAAAAGGAAAATCAAAAGACTTGTTACAAGGTCCTGCAAGTGTACTCAACAAAAGAAAAGGACAGAACAACTATGTCGTTAGGCAAGAATGAGAAACACGCTATGGCGATTGATGAACATCATATATCTAAGGATGAGAGGACGCACAAGACACAAGAAGCATCAGTAGGCATACGGCGACGACCACGTTCTGAATTAGTTGGCAAGATATTCTAGTAAACTTACCTCTATCTCCAGCTCCAATGTTGTAATCCATTCTGATGGCCTCTCCCAGCACTTTGTCAATAGCTGCTATCCGATCATGTTTTTCTTTATACTACTTTTGGTTCTTAATATAAGAGCTAGCTAGTTGACTAATTTGAGTAGATTAAAGAAGTTTGTTGAGTTAGTTATTTATAATAATTAGGTGTTGTCTTTTCTAAAATATCTTTACTAATCATGTATTAGCTAAAACTATTATTTGATTAAACATTTAACATGTGTAACTATTACAAGAATTACTTTGAAAAAAAATTAATAAATATGAAAGACGAAGTGAATTGAGGTTTTATATTTAGAACCAAATTAAAAGTTAAACTAGCTTTTATGTTAAGAATCGGAAATAATAGTATTTAGCTGGCAGGCCTAGTAACATGATCCAGCCAATGATTCGAGTGATCTTGAGATTCTGAGGAGAGAACTCAGGAGTCCAACGATGAATTGTGAGGCAGTGACCTCGTATGACCCATGCAGTCCACCTTCAATGTCGGAAATCTCAAATGGACCAGAGGGCTTCCAGAGCGTCGTAAGCTTGGTCCTATGGTTTTCTTGGTACCTAATGCGGCTTCCTATAGGCAGCATATTCACAACTGCTGCAAATTTCATGCTTTCCATTCAGAATCTCATGGATTTTTCAGCCAAGGTAATCGATGGTACGAGACTAGTCTTGATGATTGCGTACGTAGTCCTCTTCAGGAACTACCAGTTCATCCTCATCATCTTCAGCTTTTTTTTCCGAAGTTTGTGGCGGAAAGAAGGAGACTTGTTACAATAGATCAATCTGCATCGTGGTTGAGCTTCAGGAGTGTGCATGACTTCATGCTCAGATTCCTCTTCCACGACCATGTTAGGGACCATTTTCCGGATCTTCACCACGAATGTTGACCTTCCTGGTAAAACGGTTGGGATCCGGAAGGGAAGGAGGGTCGTCTTTTTCCTGTAGCTTCATGGGAAGACTGCATTCCATGAGATCACCTTTTTGCAGCAAATAGAAAATTAGTTACCATAAACCCATATACTTTTTCTATACCTATAACATGAAGAGACGTTCTTAGATTCAGTTTATTAGATGCAACAAGACAAACAAACTAGATGGATAGCATTTTCGTAATATCCACAAACTTACTTAAACCTTAGGGAAAATTAGGGAGAAGGACCAAGAAAAAATAAAATTTATTGAAAAGGATCTGAAAAATTCTAATTATTTTAATGGACCAAAAACTAAAATGTAAATTTATAATTACTAGATTGCCCTCAATTAAACCTAAAAAACTTGGCCCTCTTTTTTTCACTTGTTTTTTTCCTTTTTCTTACCGTCTTCTTGTTTGTCCTCTCCCTGGCTCTGCTTCCCATCCTTTAATTATCATATTTCCCACCTTCGTAATCACTTCCAAACACGCTGTTTTCAATTCTCTTCCACACCGCTTCAAGAACTACGAGCAATATGAACGGAAATTTCCACCCATCTCTGAGCTCGAACAAGAAGAATTGGTTCTCAGATTGGAGGTCTTCAATATGAAAGATAAAGATAGACAAGGCCGCAAGATCCTCCGCATTGCATTCTTCCCCAGCGACCTCAATATCTTAAGCTGTGTTCAAATTATTTTTATACCCAATTAATATGTTATACTACTTTGCTAGTTAATGTAAGAACTAGTTAACTAATTTAAGCAGATTAAAAATGTTAGTTAAATTAGTTAATATGATTTTTTTTTTTAAAACACTTTAAGTATTTTTCTTAATTTTCTCCCTTCCTTTCCTACTTGATTATTGTTAAGAAAATTGAAAAAAAAATTAATAAACTTGTGAAATAGGTTTTAACTCTTATATATAGGACTAACATTAACTCTCCAACTAAATCTTATATTAAAGACCGGAAGAGTATCTTGTGAATTATTTTTTGTATTTATTTGGATGAAATAACATGAATCATGAGCGTAGATGTTGTGAGAAAGTATCTAGAGGAGAGGATTAGAGAGGATGCAGGGAGTTTGGTCAAGGCTAATTTTGTAATTATAAATTTATATTTTAATTTTTGGTCCTTTAAAATAATTTAGAATTTTTAAGATCCTTTTGAATAAATTTCATTTTATCTAGGTCTTTTGCTCAAAATTTTCCTAAACCTTGTATTAATTCATGATTTGTTGGGCCTAACTAGGACAATAAATAGAAATGTAGTGAATTCACATTGCTGAAAATAAATGAAAAATATTTACATACACAAAGATGTAGGGCAAAAATTAGAGATGCTCTACCTTATACTTGTTCAGGTGAACCCGTACTCATCCCGAAATGGACTGAGACAAGACAATATCAGGATCGGGATGACCCTCGAGATGTCCTGTCTCATCTCAGTCCCAACTCCCCTTATTTTTTTTAAAACATTTTTTTCATTATTTACTTTGTTTTCACCCTTCAATTTTATTTTGACACTGATATATATATATATATATATATATGAGAATTTGAACTCAAATTTAGTTTATGGTTTGCCTTTTTCTTTGTTTTTAGAAATTTTTTATTGTTTTTTTTTTTAATTTCAAAAAGCTTAAGTGAGGGTTATCATAGACTATGTTTTTACTTTTTGACTAGATTTTAAATAAATCTTCACTTAACATAGGTATCACTACATATTAAGTTTTCATAGACATTTTGGTCTCTCCCTCCCTCTCTCTCTCTTAATGAATTTGCTTTAGGTTTATGGATTATTTTGAATACTTGATCAGGCTTGTTAATTCAGATTGTTATATGCAATGATTTTTGTCATTGTTTTTGAAAGATTAATGTGTTTGAATAAGTTTACAAACTCATCCATTTAAGTCTAAAGACTATCTACCAAATGCTAAATTTATTTATATACTGGTAGTTCACTTTATGTTGTTTATTTATATGTATTTCAAGTTTATTGTTCATTTTTTTCCAACAATCTATTGTTCCTTTAAATGATTTACATTTGTCTCAGGTTTATTTTATATTGATCATTTATATTTACTCATAGCTGTTCCACACAAATTCGCTTCAGCTTTCAGGTTCCTTTTTTTTTTTTTCCAAGTTGTGATTAGGCTTTTTTTTCTAACTAAATTATAATTGGGCAATTTTTTTTAAAAAAAATAATAGTTGACTAAGATGTCATCAGGATAAGAAGGGACGCAGGACACATCCCTATTTTCTGGGACGAGACGCAGAATGAGAGTGTTCCGGTCTCGTCTCTAGAGCACCCCTAGCAAAAATATACAAACATATTTCTTTGTCTCTGAACCCGTAAATGAGAATAGAATACATACTTCCTTTAAAAAAAGAAAAAGGGATACATCATTGTGCCCCAAAAAAAATACAGGGATTCTTGGACAAGCAGAGCCCCCATGGATGTGCCAGTTCTTAATTTCTATACAAATCAAGGGAAGTTCCTCTCATAAAAGGTGTTTCTCACAATGCATAAACACCCTAACAATACAGACAAATAAAGAATACAGCCTATAAAGTAATTAGAACACTAGATTTCTAAAACCAATTGGTAAAAATCTCTCACAAATCACTCCAAGCACTGATTTTTCTATACAATTCTGTGTCAATCTACTAAAATCAAATGAATAAATCAACTATCTTATTCCAGAAATTTCACCTAATGAAGTTTGAGTAGCTACCGCTGGTGCGCTGTCAAATTCTGTAATTACTTAACCTCCTTTAGAACACATAACTAAACCCTGCAAAAGAGAGTAGAGATTATGGACACCCATTTGAGAAAATGACATTGAGGACGCTGAAATTTCAAGCTGGAACCAGAGACAGGCTGCAATGCAAAGTCAATACGAACAAACCAATTTAGGTCATAGCAGTAATGGAGCTGCTTAGGCTTGTGTTAATATCAGTAATCTAACTTCTGTGTCATTAGAATTTTTCATATTTAATACATCATGGGGTAGTGTAAGCCATAGTTGTTAAGATCCTACAGTAACTGAAAAATAAGCACATCTCCGTTGTATAATTCAGCAGAAAGCTAATATAACATGTGGGAAGGGAAAAAAGTTCAAATCCGGTAGATAAAGGGCCCATAATCCTAGAAACATCATTAAAACCAAGTCTAATTTACATCTATCCTAACTGAGAATTGAACTAGAATCAACATTGTAGGAAAAAAGGAATACATAGAAAACATGATACATTAGGAGTAGATGTGGAGAACTAATTATTGAAATGGTCCAACTATTTAAGAGAACCAATCAGTGTGGATATCTGGGTCAAACTCCTTCAATCAGGCAAACAAAGAATGTAGCCTTCAGCAGATACAAATACAAAAAAGAAAGTGGGGGGGGTGTATGAGAAAATTATTATCATTTTGGAGGGAAATACGATGCAGGATTTAGCTGAATACCATTATTCTGTGGTCAAGGAAACCCTCTTGGCGGTTCAGTATGCTGGACTTGCATATCCCGGAAGCATTGGAATTATTAGCATGACAACAAATATGGATGCAAGGGAAATGAAATAAGGAAGAAAGGGGGATGGGTTGGAAGAAGGAAAGGGGGGGGGGGGGGAGGGTGGGGGTGTTCAAAAATTTGTCAGGACTTCTTCATTTTCAATCTCTGCATCTGTGAACGTTAGTGCTCGTTGCAGCTTCCTAGAGGAGAACACCTCCACCTCAGCCATATAGGTAGCAGAAACAGGGCGATGATCTGAATGTTTGAGCTCAGTCCTTCTATAACTCAATAATCTCAGTCCCTTGCCACGTGAAAGAATACGATCACACCTGAAAGATAAGTTACATATATAGCAATTAGCATTATCAGCAAGAAAATTGATATATACAAAATTATGTAGCAGGTCCCACAAAATCTCACATCTTTGAGGACAGGTTTTGGGGATTTAATAAATTAAATTTTAAATACCTTGCTGGATGTTTAAGTTGTAGCAGCATTTAGCATTTTGCAAAGTCTTGAGTGATCATTTGGAATCAAGGACAGCATAAAAGGAACATATGATAAATTGCTAATGAAGATATAAGTAGTTATTCATAAAAGGACCATATGATAAATTGCTAATGAAGATATAAGTAGTTATTTGTTAATTAGGAATCAAGGATAAACATATGAATCAGAAAGTATTTTATTGGCTAATTGGTTTTATCTAGAATGTAGTTATTCTAGAATTCAGTTATCCTTCTATTTTGATTTATTTTATCTTATTAATAGTTGCTTCTTGGACTTCACATAAAACTATCAGAGATGAGGGTTAGAAAAACTTCTCGGATTGATCATTAATAAATGTTCTTTCCGCTTGCTAGCCATCTCTCCCTCAAATTTTTTTGTACGTTTCCCCCTTTTTTTTTTTTTTAAATATATCTCCTATTTCTACTTCTCTCTCCTTTCCCTATTCTTTGCCAGCGTTCTGTACCAACTGCTCTTATCATTTGGTGAGTGAGGCTATTGACCATGTCTAAGGTTCACGGTTGGCTACTTCCTAAGAACATTCTTCGAATAGGTCTCTTGTGAAAATGATTATTAAATTCAGTGTTTTCTGTAATGATTCAGTGTAAGATTTTAGCAATTTTTAAATTTGCAGCTGAAACACGTAAGAGAAACAAGTGTACACATGTTTCTCTTTTGGATGCACATTTTGATTAATCAGGTGCTCATATGAATAGTATGATCTAGAAATATGAGAAAAATGCTTTTCTGGATATTGATTAGAAAGCATGACTAGAGACATGGGAGCAGAGCCTAGAGTCAAGAAAATCAAGCATACCATGCTGGCCTACGCTTCCCTGCCTTGGGATCTTCTCCCTGGTACTTCTCCGAGTCAATCTCATACTTATAAGTAGGGGCGAAGTTTAATGAGCCTTCCAACCATCCAACAAATGCACCATTCTTGAGTTCTTGCACAAGCTATTAGAATAAGATGTCAGTAAGGAAGCATTGCAGGTGTTAGTAACAGGTCAATATGACATGAAAATAGGGAAACCACAGAAAGTGTAAATAAATACACAATTACATGTAACTGATCATTGAAAAACTGCTCGTAAGCAGATAATCCAATCAATTCTCAGAAAGACATCGATTATCGCAGTAAAGAGAAAACAACAGGTCTTATGCTCAGAAGGAGTTTCTTATGCTGTACATACTATGCATGAGATTCTAACATACCTGGTCCTTCTCAACCAATGTTGACCACTCCTTTTTCAGGATAAGATCTCTTGTTTTCTCGTATGATAAATTGATTCGGTAATTCAGATCTCCAAACCAAATTATTCTTCTGCAAAATAATTAGAAATGATTAATTGACTATGTTTCCTTAAATCGTAACATGCCAAAAAAGAATTACAACAGACAACAAAAGAAGCTAAAGCAAAGCACAGCTACAGCCTGAAAACACTCCAGTTAAATCCATGAACCAAGCTAAATGCACATGCAAAAGCAGCGCAAGTTATAGCACATGCTATATTACTACTTCATGTTATAAGATAATAGACAGTGACAAAAATGCTTCTGATTCTCACTATTATGCTACATGTGTTCGGTCATGGTTTAAGAGGACACATTTAGATTATAACTTGAATAATCTTCTCATACACTTTTTTTTTTTTGGCCCGTGATTCTCATAAGCTAACTTTGAAATGTTGACATATCATTCTATGTCAATCTCAAACTCCCCATTTCAAAACATACCATGTGAGCACAATATAATTCTAATAATAGGAAAATGATAAGATACATAAAATATGACACCAAATAACAAAGCTAAAAGTTGAAAAGCGAGGATAAAGTCACTCAGAGCACTAGGACAACACACGAAATGTTAACAGGCATAATAGTTCTAACGAGGATGTAAAATAACTCAATTAATAATGATATCATAATGCGTGCACTCACTCATGATCATCGATACTTTTAGGCAGAGCAATTTCAGAACGTGAATGAAATTGGGTTCTTCGGTGTATTTCACGCACATCAGCATTTCTCTTGAGTTCGTCTGCTTCCTTTTCCCCTGATGTAAGGTGGGTGCATATAAAACAAAAAAGTGTCTGATATATGGACATGCTAACAGATATGGAGCCCTGGAAAAATAAAGAACTGTCTTATAATCTGAAACAAAATATATATTGATCAGATGATAGCTCCATTCAATATCTGTTCATCACAAAAAGTACTAGTGATCTAGTTCATAAAATCAACGTAAAACAAGGAAATCAATATTATTATTTGGAGTAATTATGCCAAAACTAATAGTTAAATGCTAGAGGACTTAACTACTAAACAGTAAACACTTTACATCACTCTAGCCGATCACTAAAACTATCCTCCCCTACATGGAATTAAAGATTCAGATGTGGATCTTGATATTCTTGTTTAAGTCATTGTGTATGCATTTTCGTTTATTACTTTGATGAGATAAGGGGGAAAGTAGCAGACACTGCCCTTCAGAGAAGATCCATGCAAGGAGACTAATTACTTGAGAAGATTGAATCTCTTAGAATGATGGTTAGCTAATCCTATACTTTTGGTAAAGGATTTTTTTTTTTTTAATTGCATAAAGCTGTCTCTTTTGCTCATTCAAAGGCTATGCTGCTATAGGAATAAAATCCTCCTGGAAGACAGCTATTCCTCAAGTGCCAACTATGATGTATGTGTTTCATTCTTGGTAAATGGAAATCACATATTACCAAACAAAGCGACAACTACTAACGAAGAACAACTAAAAAGAGCTTGGGGCAGGGGAAGAATACTCTGAAGAAAAGAAATTGACCTTATTGCCAATATATCCCATGGCACCAACACCAACAGTTGACACCTTCACATTCTGAATGTGTTTCCGCAAGCTCCTACGAACCCATATAGTAACGAAAAGCCCAACCATCTGCTTACTAACTATTCTTACATATGATGATCTTCTTTTCCGCTTCATCAAAGCTTCAAGGTCAACTTCTGTAAGCAAAGCTATTCCCAATGGTACTTCATTCATAGTTGACTTGAAAGAACTATATGTTTTGAAAGATTTTGATGCTTTGAAGGATTTGATTGATTTGAATGAACTCGGTCTCTCTAAAACTCGCTGGGATAGAAGATCAAGTGGTGGCTCTGGCCACATCAAACCAATCCTTTCAGATCCACTAAGCATTCTGGTTAGTTTAGTGGTCTGCAGTGCAGATGATGTGTCCGCACGTTCTGATGAATCATCAGTGTTCAAACAATTTAATTTATTGAAGATCCTTGGAGAAGGAAGTTGTCTCTGCAAATCCAAGTCAGCTGGTCCTGAGTAGGCAAAATTAGTGGCATCTGAATTATGCACGTTTTTATTTGAAATTTTATTGGTGACTGATCCATCTGTACGTCCATCAGAAGCTTTGTGTTCCTCACACAAAGGATGAAACTCCTCACCAATGTCACTATCACTTTCAAGCAATATCTCTTCTTCTATATCTGGGATGTCATCTGATGGCTTAAATTTTGATGGAGACGGAGGATCACTAAAGGATTTTATCTTTGGTGCTGCTGGTCGAACTCTTCCCAGTGTTTCTCGAATGATATCTTCCCATACTGGGACAGCTCGAGTATCTTCAGCACCAAAAATGTTACCAGCATTCAAGGGTACAACCTCCTGAAGGCTGCAAAGGCAAAAAAAAAAATCTTTTTAGTTAAACAAAGAGGATTAATCATCCTAAGCACAAGAAAGTAATGAAATGAGTTGTTGCAGAAATATATATTAAAAGTGATCAAACATGACAATGATGCTGTAATCAGGTTTATATATGTCATAAGAACCAGAGTAAAAAGAATCCAGTGCTGGAGAACGAAGTTTTTGCAACAAATGTATTATTCCCTTCATTCTTATGTACGAGTCACCTAAAATAATTCACACAGAAAGGAAGTTTAGTTAAAATTAGTCGATATGATTAAACTACCCCATCTTTCTAAAAATATCCTTAATTAAATGCGATATAAATAACCCAGTCTTGCTAATCTCTTTCAATCCCTCTTTCCATCAAAATTACTCAACAATATCCATGCATAGATTTTGAAAAATAACTTGTAAATAGAAGCATGAAAAGCTTTGAGAGGGTGGCTTATAAATAAAACGGAAAGAATATATAATAATACTAATTTAATATGAAGAACAAATAATCTCAGAAGGTGAAACACTTACCCCAGAACATAAATGTCAGCTGGATCATCAATACCCAGCCAATCATCAATATTTAAGTCTTCTGGTGGAAGTCTTCCTCCAACATTCCATGTCCCAACACATACTCTAGGAGATAAATACACACCATAAACCAAGTATCAGAGGTTGCAACTTTAAAAACCTAATGCTAAATAAATGAAACAAGTGTCTGCTCTTGCTTGCTAAACAAACACGAGAATAGTATCTCACCTAAGCTCCTTTCTGTTTATATATTGAGCCCTGTAAGTTGATGACTTTTGCCTCCTTAAAGTTGGAAGATATTCTGTATATCAATAAAAGTTTCATGAGATTTAAAAAAAGTTAAGATGCAATTTTAACAACAAAGTTTCCCCTAAAGGACACTAGGCACCATAAAATTTATTTGGGTGAAAAAATATACATTAAGTTCTCAAAAAAGGACATCTAACACCACGCCATTAATGTCCATTAGTTTACCATTAGTGGAGCACACAAAGTCAGTTTTCAAGTGCATTTTTAACAGCGAAGTTTATATTAAGAGGCACTAGGCATCATAAAGTTTATTTGGATGCAAAAATTTACATGAAGTTTCTAAAAGGGCGGGGAAATAACAAAATTCATCAACTCCTATAAATCGGATAAATGAAATTTCCCAAAATATCTGAAAATCTGAACAATTGATATTAGATTTGAACTACACATGTTTTCCTAGCTTGAGAGCTTATTATCATTGTTTACACCAGCAGAAAGTCTTATACCAGTCTAGAGAATAGTATGCCCCTTCAGTGGTATCTAGAAATTAAAGAAGTATAGCAGTTCAATAATAAAGCAGAAAAAATTTGGTGCAAAAATACCACCATTAGATTCAAGGGGTGCTTCATGGCTTCTGTTTCCCCAAAACCGGGATTGTCTTCCCAATTCTGCATAAGACCGAAATTAAAGCGCGAATGAAAACTGAAATGGATCTTTAAACCGAAATCATAAAAGTATCTTAAAATAATTGGAATTCAGAATTTCAGAGCACCAGCAACATGTCGGACATCATAGAGCTCAATTTATCCTAATTCCATGCAAAATCCTTTTTGCCAATATTAAAAGCACTCAATGGATACACAAAATCACATGATAATAGTATAGATTCTATTTCACCTTCGTTGCCGGAATCATTATCAGGGTCATCCTCATCATCATCATCATCATCATCATCAGGGTCGGCGCTATAATCGGATTCATTGCTCTCTATGTTAAGCCATTTGCGCACGACTACTCTAGCCCATAAGAGCTGTAGGCAGGACCAACCCAAACAACATAGTTCAGCCCAAGTCCTCTGCAATTTTACCTCATTTTCCCCCAAAATTAAATAAACCCAATACACCAAAAACAATAACAAGAATCCAAGCACAATCAAGGAAGAAGGGGAAGAGAAAAGAGACAGGAGACAGAGATAGAGAGGTAACCTGATGTAGATGTAGCTGCTTTGTCCGTCGCCTCATCTGTAAATTTATAGTCTATAGATGGATACAGAATGAATATAAAGTAGAAGACAAAATTCTAATCCAAGTACGAAGAAAAAGAAAAGGTACGAGGGAAGACGAAGATTCAACCAGCTAGTAAAGCTGCGAGAGTGCCAAGCCCAAGATAGACGGAGGACTAGGTATCGGAGCACAGTCTCGTTGGTTTTTAGCGAGGATTTTGAGGAATTGACCATGGAAATTCTATATAATACTTAAAAAACTTTGAGGTGTTAATTTAAGATTGAAGAGAGGATAATGGTGCGAGACTAACCAAAGTTATGGACTTTAATAAGCTTCATGCGATGGAAACAAAACATAAATGTCAACACACAGTTGGATTAAAGAAAGCAAGAAAGGATCATCAACAGAGCATCGACACATTTATAGGTCGGCAAAGAGGTGGGTCCATGTGACTCCAAGGCCTAACATTGGAAGTTTGGGCATCCGCCACCCGCCAATTTCAAAAAGCTTCACTCTTCATGCGCTCCCGGGTGTCTGATTTGACTCGGCCATTCCCCAGTTTATCAAGACCAGATCTTTTTGTAAGTTTGGATTTCTGCAACGCCATAGTGGAAAGAGTGCCGACACATACACAGTCGTTTTCATTTATTTACATACATTTAATTGGAATTTTCCCCTTTTTATAGAGGGATACTGCAATATTCTCCAAGTAGTGACGGGTAAATGCTAGCTATGATGCAAATAATTCACATGGAATAAAATTAAATTAACGTGTGGTTATGTAAGTAAAAAAAAATTGCATATTATAATACTCTATTAAGTAAAAAAAATTAGGAAAAAATTTGTCATTAAAAATTTTATTGGTTAGAAGAATCCAAATCATAAAATTCACAGAACATTGATACTTTTTATATAAAAATTCCCATGGCAGTTATACAATTTAAATGTCTAAATACCATGTAAATGTCTAAATTATTTTTTTTTATTTTATGGTTTAAAATTGTAATGAGAAAGCTTAATTTTTATTTTATTTGCTAAAAAATGACATTTATTTTTTGGCCAGTACTTCATGTGGCTGCTCATGACGATACCTAATGTGACATGAAGACATGTGGAATGACGAGGAATGATGCTTCATGTCCGAAATTGGCAAAGATTCGAGCAATGAAAGGTAAAGATATACACATGGCCACACATTACTAATCAGTGAAGGAGGTGGTTCGCTCGGCCATACCAAGAGGCATCAAAACTAAGATTATTTAATATGCACTCATGTTACCCTGACTTGGATATTCTCTTCCACCTGTATATTTCCCCTTTCTCACACCAAAATTAGGATATTCTTGTTCCTCATGTTGAGGACATTACAACATAAAAGGCAAGAAAAAAAAAACACTTTATACTCCTCCGGTCCTTAATATAAGACTCATTTAACTAATTTGATTAGATTAAGAAAGTTAGGTAAGTTAGTTAATTATAAGAAATGTGACACATTTTTCCTAAAATACTATAATCATCTTTCTTAATACCCCCTCTTCCTCTTCTACTTGATTATGGTTGAGGGAGTATCTATAAGGGTAATTTAGAGAAAATTGATAAATATGAGAAATGGGTCTTATGTTTAGGATCAAAACCAACTCAAGAATTGGGTCTTATATTAAGGACCGAAGGAGTATTATTTATAACAATTACAAGAACATTTTGTACTCCTCCGGTCCTTATTATAAGATCCAATTTGACTTTTTATTTGGTCCTAATTATAAGACCCAATCCATTTTCTCTCTTATATTTATGCATTTTTTTCCAAAATAATCCTTCTAATAATGATAGTTTTAGCCAATATACTTAATTAGCAAGGATATTTTAGAAATAACAACACTTATTTATTATAAATAACCAACTTAACTTACTTCCTTAATCTCCTCAAATAAGTCAATTGGGTCTTATAATTAGGACCGGAGGAGTATTATTTATCAGGGCTGTGTGTGTGTATTGCATGCATACAAGTTTCACTCGCACAATAGTCCTAACGTGTAAATTATTCATCTGGATTCCTGGATGCTTAGAAAAAGCTCATGTGTTTTATGATATAGTAATTCTTTGAAGAACTTATTTTCTTAAGTTATCGCTAAATGAAGAATAAGTCATGAATTAATTTTTTTAAAAGAAAATTCATTGTGTATCCAATTAAGAAATAGCAAAAGGTGTGCATAATTGGAGGAATCACTTTCATGTTTTACCTTTATTGCACAATAGAATTAGAACTACATTATTTGCAAGAAAACAATGGCCGGCCATGCTTCCATCATGTGATTTCTGAATCAGCTTTCTTTTCTTCTTCTTCTTCTTCTTTTTTTCTTTTCTTTTCTTGTTTTCTTTCCAAAGCAATTTTTATTACTAATTTATTAGAATAAATCTTATAGTATTTATTATTGTACAAAGGCTAATTATCCAAGAACATTATCTAGACAGAGTAATTCAAGTAATTATATCTGGTTTTAGTAAACGCACACAGGTTGATTGTGGAGGGGGAAAGCATGCACATCTAAGAATGGATCAAAATTCACATATCATTGGACAACCAAAAGAATGACAACAGAGTAGAAGATTGCATCTTGAAAGTCGAAATTTTGGGTGGAAGGGAATGATTACAATCCATTACTTGAATACAACCACTGGACAATATTGATATTTCTGTAAAATCCTTTATAAATTCAACCATATCTTCATTTTGATTGAAACGGTCAATGCATCGTGCAGAGCTTCCTGTTGAACCATTAATATTGATCTTTTTCAGTCCCAAAAAAAAAAATATTGATCTTTGACTTCTAGACATTAGCTGAATCCGGGTTCTCTTGAACTTGCAGCAGATTCCCCCCCCCCTTCGATATAACTGTTGGCTATATCTTGGAGTTACTGAGATTTAAAGCTATAGCCAGGAACCTTCCTCCTTCCTTTTTGAACCGTAAAGTTTAATCTTCAGATTTTAGTTTCTACATGTTGATAGTTTGGCAGATTTACTGCATATTTTACTGCAATTTATTTATTTATCTTTTTGGGAGGAAGCTGCTTCTTTCGGTTGGCCGACGTGAACTGGGAGGACAGATGTCGGGCAGTCAGGGCAGAGAATCCCACTAAGATTTTTTCACGAGAAAGGGCCATCACGTCGACGTGGAAAGAAGCCATACTTTCATGAGAAACTATATTTGGTAAGGTTAGAAAAAAAAAATGGTAAGGTTAATAAATAACAAGACATTTGTCATCATATTTTATAATCCTCATTTTTTGTCTTAAGCCTCTCATGTTTTTACATGTAAATTGTTTTTACAAAATTTATAAAGCAATTAATATTATCTTTAAATAGTTCCCTTGACGTGTATTGATAAATAATTATGATGGAAAAAAGGGTTGAAAGAAATGACTAGAAGTCAAAAATATTTTTGAAAAAAATGAAATATTTATTAAGATTATAAGCTAATCTTTCAAAATTTTCCCCAGTAACTGAATGACTTGTAAATAAATTTAGAGCAATAAAACACACACCAAGGGGGTATGCCGGCTCTCGTAAGCAGCATATCTTCATACTAGTTAATCAGCTTTTGGCCATGCATCATTGAGACTCAAGCGCTCAAATTTTGGCTATATACTTTTTGTTTGAAACCCTGACATGCTTCAATTTTTGTTGACGCACGTAAATCCAACACTCATTTTAATTTTATTCAAATTTTATATTAAAGCTCCTGACCATCGAGGAAAAAATAGCCCAGCCCGCTTATGTTGCAAGTAATGTATCTTTGACTCATGAAAGATACGATTCAGTAAAGATTTTACATGATATTCATTGCGGTTTTCATCTGACATACACGATTGCCAGCAGAACTTGTGTCCTCCGTCGTACCACGAAGTTCATCCCTCATGGTGCATGGAACACAAAATAGTCAAATAAAAACTCCCAAGTTATCAAAGATTACACCAATCCATAAAGCGATTTTTAAGTTCTGAGAATTTCCTCATTTCAAAAATGCCTGGGCAAGAGTAAGGACTACAGATAGTGTGATTGTCGGCGTAAATTATTAAAAACATGAGCCAAAGGCTTTTATTTGACAGAACATTTCTGCAACAAGAAAAATGAAAGCTAGTAGTGAAGGGAAGAGAGGCTTTGGAGCTCATGAAAGGCAGCAGAGAAGGGAATATATTACCATGGAGTTTGAGTCTGTTAAAAAAATGGGAAACTCAAACCATTTGTATCCAAAACCCCCTTTTTTTTAAAAAAAATAACTTTCACTATGGCCCCGTCTCCCCCTTACAAACAGCACGACTGACTCATTACTCGCAACAAATACACAATATAGACGGAAGTAACAATAGACGCCCAGACCCCAAAAGCACAACCCTCAATATAATTCAAACTTGACCCAAACTTTGCTTGCTGATAAAAGACTCGACAGAAGCCACGGACTCGCTCAATTTCATGGCCATGACTGACACAGTCCGAAGACTACAAGTATGCATAACTCAAGATATGGGTGGATATGCAGCCAACCACCTAACCTTTCATGTTGCCAGGAAGTACGAAAGAACAAGAGACTATACTCAAGCTGATGAAGCTGGCTCTTCGGTTTTCTTCTCTGTATCCGTTTTCTCTGGTTCATCCTTACTTTCCTTTTTAGGTGCGTCTTTTTGCTCCTCAGATTTGTCCTCAGACTTCTCGGTCTTCTCTTCAACACTCAACTTCTCAAGGAGACCAGCAGCAGAAGATGCATCTTTGTTTTCCTCTTTCTTCTTCTGAGATTCAGCAACTTCTTGGAATGTTTCCATAAAGCTTTTGCAGTCTACAAGACGAGGCAAGACACAATTAAATTCTAAAGCCAAAATTAAGCCCCGTAATGGACAAGCAAAACACTTAATATGATTGTTGCCTTAAGAAAAGAGGGGCGTGTAACAAAGAAACTATTAAACACAACCACTCCCACTAAGTACCAATTTCATTCCTAAATTATTCCCCAAATCTGGCCATCAGGAGGAAAAAGAAATAAGCACGTCGTTATCCAGATGTGTTTAATACCCAAATTACAAATCTGGCAACCAAAAAAAAAAAAAAGAAGAAGCCCAAATTACAAATAATAAGCACTGTACGGAAAGGTATCCGTGCTTATAAAAATTACAAGTTTTTAATGCCCAACACTGGTTATATAGACTTGCAACCAACAAAAGCAAAATTTCATAAGAAAAAGCAATAGCTTATGATGCAGTACCGTAGCAAAATTTCATAGAAAACTTGATACGAAAATGTTTTAACATGTTCAAAAACTCCCCCCTAAATGGTGTTCGCATCTGCTTTTTTTTTTTTGGTTGGGTTTCCCAGAGCCATTAGGCGCAGAACAAACACTAAGGTAAATGGTTTAAATTAATTTAGTGCACATAATTAATAATATGAAAATGATGATCACTAACCGATAACCCGTACATGTATAAATTAAGGCAGCCAGAATATATCTGAATTTATTAAAAAAGTATGAAACTTCAATTATATCAGCAGTGGCATGCTGAATTACAATTTCAATTCCAGAAGAAGATAGAATAGTCTATTGTTTGAAAGCACACACTTACTTTCAATTGAAGCAAATCGAATGCAAAAAAGTTCGTCCTTCAGTTCACCATCGGCGAAGTCACTAGCATGCCAAACGCAAGATTTCTCATTCCCAGCATGTTCTTGCACGGTCATTGACGGAACAACTGCGTCGGGAAAAAAGCGAGCACACGATGAAACTTATCCAAAAGATAATCGAATTCAAAACCAGTGACAATAATGCAAGTAAAAAAGGATAGAGTGAGTTACGAACTGAAATGATTGGCGCAGATCTTGAGCGTCTTCGACTGCCTCATCACAAGCCTAACTTTCCCAGTAACCTTGTGCTTCAGGAACTTGACAGTACCGGCGCCTCTCTCCTTCCATTGATTGCCATCTTTATCGAAACGGTAGAGCTTAGATTTCCTGGAATCAAGCAAATACGCTTTAATTTCAACGACAAAACAAATAGACGCCAAGAACCTAAAAGAAAAAGTTGACAAAAAACTGCATACAGATCGAGAATAGGATCTTCGTCTTCTTCGCCAGTAGTGACGGAAACTTCCTCAAGTTTGACGATCGGAGCAACTTGAGCTCCAGTATCTTCATCATCGCCGGTAGGGGCTTCCTCCTCTTCACGGTGCTCGGGATCGTTGCTCGACATATTGTTCAGTAAGGGATAGAGAGACACACAGAGACAGCAAGACAGGGAGGGTATGGCTATTGCTAGGGTTTGGGAGTAAAGTGGGCAAGAAAGCGGCCTCCGCGGGGGCGTCGAGTTGTATAATGCTCCCCCGGACCCACACAACGAAAAAGAGCTGTAAAAGGCCTGACGTTCAGAAGATAGGCGCGTAGCGTAAGTCCCAATGTGAATGTGGGCTAACGGATGGTTGGAAATTTGAAAATTTTATTTGGCCCAAATTCTACATATTCATTTATACCAAAAAAACAAGGTATGAATAAAAAAAAGGTATATTCATGGGAAAATGACAGATAAAAAAGTTTGAAAATATGAAATATCAATTTGGAAAGTTAAGGAAATCTAATTACACATAGGGAAGTCCTTCCCAAATTGAAATTTTAAAATTCAGTGAAATGACAAAAATGCCCTTTGTTCATTTTTTTTTAAAAAAAACCTAGCCCCTCACCGGTGGCCGGCGACCACTGCCAGCGACTGGCCTCCGACGGCCGCCGACCACCTCTGGCCACCAGAGCCAGCCACCAATGTGGTGGCTGCCGGTGAATAATTTTTGGAACAATATATTTTTTTTTTGTTATAAGAGAGGGCAAAGCCCAAATTACAAACTAAGAAGAAAGGGAAGGTGTTCCCAAACTCTCATCAGCCACCATAGCCCGAAGATGAAGTGGGCAAGTAGGAAAGAAATCAGAGGATGAGAGCCCGCCTTTAGCCAAAGAATCAGCAACCCGATTCTGATGTCTAGAAATATGAAGGATTTGTACTTCCCGTTGGAAATGCAGCAGCTGTAACAACTGAAAGACCACCAGATTATGATTAGTACCTATCTCACCATTTGTAATCATTTGAATCAAAACCTTCGAGTCTGATTCCAGTATCACATTCCTAAATCCCATGTCCCAAGCTAGTTTGAGTCCTTTAAAAGCCGCCCATTCCTCAGCTTCAAGGACTGAACAGGATCCCAGAGCGTAGGAAAACCCGGCTATCCAACATCCATTATGGTCTCTGATGACTCCCCGCAGCTTGCTCTAGTCGAAGTTGATACCATAGCGCCATCTACATTGACTTTAATCCACCCTGATGGAGGGGGTGCCCACCTAGCTAAAATGGTGCTCTGTGGTCTACCCTTTGCAAAAGGTTCTTCATTAGTTTGTGCATACAGTTTCCAAGAGTGCTTGATAATCAAGTCAGGATTTGTTGGTTTCACAAAATCAGTCTTGAAGATGGAATAATTGCGCCAAGTCCACAACTTCCAAATGGCAACTCCCCATATCAGGTCCCAATTCAGAGAAGAGTACCTTCCTATGCTGTTCTCCATACTTTTCCCTCTAGCGTTTGAGAAGCTGTCTTCAACTGCTCCTTGTTGAAATTTATCTGCACTGTTTGAGGTAAGAACTCCCTAATTGGCTCACAATGTGCATTTTATTGGCTATTTTCTCATTGTTATGGTTTATTGTCCATTAATTTATTTTGAAATCAATTTTTGAATGAGATAATATTGGTTCAAAGTGACAGGGGTGGGATTTAATCCTATAGCCTCTTGGGCCAACAAAAGGGAAGATGGCCATTGGGCCATCAAAGATTTCTTAAATTTATAATGCAAACAAAAATATAAGTTAACTCTTTTACTGTGATTCCAGCTCGTAACAATAATTTATCTGAGGATGACAAGTCTTAATTGAGAAATAACAAGTCTAAATTTGATATTAACAAAACAACTTTTCCTTATACATAACAAATAGCAGCATGTGCATTAATTAAAAATGATCATAATTTATTTAAAAATGACACGTCTTTATTGGAAAATGACAAGTCTAAACTTGATATTAGTAAAGCAATTTTTCCTTATATATAACAAGAAATAGCATGTACGTTAATTAAAAATGACCATAATTTATTTGAAAATAACACGTCTTTATTAGAAAATGACAAGTCTAAACTTGATATTAACAAGGCAACTTTTCCGTATACATAACAAGAAATAACATGTACGTTAATTAAAAATGACCATAATTTATTTGAAAATAACACGTCTTTACTAAAAAATGATAAGTCTAAACTTGATATTAACAAGGCAACTTTTCCTTATACATGACAAGAAATACCGAATAAATTGTTGTTATTTTCCAGTAAAGACGTGTTATTTTCAAATAAATTATGGTCATTTTTAATTAACGTACATGCTATTTCTTGTTATGTATGAGTAAAAGTTGCTTTGTTAATATTAAATTTAGACTTGTTATTTCTCAATTAAGACTTGTCATCCTTAGATAAATTGTTGTCACGAGCTGGAGTTACAGTAAAAGAGTCAACTTATATTTTTTTTTGCATTATAAGATTAAGAAATCTTTGATGGCCCAATGGCCATCTTCTTTTTTGTTGGTCCAAGTGGCCAAGGGGTTGTGGGATCAAATCTCACCCCGCCACTTTGAACCAATATTATCCCATTCCAAAAAAAAAAAAACCTTGTCACAAAAATTCTTCACTGGCAGCCACCACACCGGTGGCTGGCGCCGGTGGCCAGAGGCGGTCGGCGGCCGCCGGAGGCTAGTCGTCGGCGATGGTCACCGGCCACCGGTGAGGGGCTGGTTTTTTTTTTAAAAAGGACAAAAGGGATTTTTGTCATTTCAATGAATTTCAAAATTTCAATTTGGGAAGGACTTCCCTATTTGTAATTACATTTCCTTAGCTTCCTAAATTAGCATTTCACATTTTGAAACTTCTTTATCTGTCATTTTCCCTATATTCATTGCTCAGGCTTTTTTTTTTTTTTTTTTTTTAAAAAGGCTCCTAAGAGCCACTATTTAACTAATTAAGGTAAATTAAAAAAGATGATAAATTATTTAGTCTAACTAATGTGATAGGATTTTTAAAATATTCCTGTGATGTTAAATTATATACTAGGTATAAGTAAATTACTTTTAAGGCCTCGGCCTTCTCATTTTTCTTGCTCCGTTCCTCGGTTGATTAGATTCTTGGTGGTCTTAGCCGTGGCCCTGTGTAAGTGAGTGTGGGAGAGGGTGAAGACGAGAAGCGAAACGGGAGCAGGAGTTTGAATCAGGAAAAATGAGTGAGCACAGAATCGAGCAATAAAAAATTCAGGGGGAAGCATAGGAATTCGAAGATAGAGTGAAATTGAAATCAGGGGCAAATCAACAACTTAGAAGGAAGACGCCATTTTTGGTATTTACAGGCAGAAACAGCAACAGAGCTGATAGACACAGCTGCCTGGGCTATGATAGTGACCGGATGTGAGGGTGGTGGAAGACTGGGAAGGAATAATGGTGATGGATAAGGGCATTTGAGACCTTTCACCTCCAATCCATCGCTAGAATGAATCATGATTCTCTCCAAATATGGAACCCGGTCGGCTCTCCTAATGTCACGCAAAAAATGTAGCCTGTATATGGCCTTTTGTCCAACCGCATCTGGTTCGTTGAATTAATCCAAATTCAGATGAGTAAATTTCAATGGATGGGGAAAATAGTTTTTTTATTTCCTCTTGAAAGACTCAATTAAGCTCAATTTTTATTTTAGAGATATTGAGTCCAGCTTCTGTGTGTGACCAGTCCCATTGCCAGGCGGTACATGACATTAATATATGTGAGCAAAGCATGATCATGGATACTGTTGTGAAGCAATTATTTCAAAGTTTTTATGGTCAGCAAATATATATATATATATATATATAAATCAATCCTCCATATATCCCAACAAAGTCTATATAGTGGAGACTTGCACCGAAGCTCTCTTTTAATTATGATATATGGGCTTCATTTTATATTCATGATTATGGCATTAAAAAATTTCATTTTATACTGTATTTTTTTAGTGCGTAACAATGATAAGAGCAGCATCAGGCATGTCTGTACACTTAAAAGCTCCAGCATGCGAGCAAAATCATGTAAATAGCTAGAATGTCCTGTTGAAGGTTACATCAAAGTAACGATCAAATGTGGCACACGATCTGCTAATTTTTATCACGTTGTCAGTTATCACTTCGTCTCTGTGGTTTTAATTTACATTCCAAAAGACACTAAACTAAACCAAATCCACCAAGCTGTAACACAAGAAACTATCCAAACAAGCCCTTTTGGGAAGACTTGGACTTGTAGAAGCAAAAACATGTTCCGCTGCCCCCATCTGACAAACAACACACACTACACAATGAGGGAAGAAGCTTATATATGTACATATATATATTCAAACCTGATGTTGTGGGTTGGGGTCTTCGTCCCGGAGCTTGATCATAGTATAAGCACCGGCGCCGGCCAGAGCTCCGACGGTGGGTGCAATGAAGTATAGCCATAAGTCCTTGTAATTTCCCGCCGCCACCGCCGCCCCCAATGTCCTCACCGGGTTCATTGATCCCCCACTTGCCGGCCTGCCCAATACACACACACCAACCACATTGTCACTTCCTTGTTTTGATCTCTACTCTTCTAAATTCGTTGTCTTCATTTTATATTTATATACTCTTCCTGTACTAAATATAAGACCTTTATATAGTGTATATAAGGGTTTTATATTTAGAACCACTATAACATAAGCTAAAGCAGACACTTTGCAACTTAACGAACTAACACATTATAACTATATAAAGATTACAGGATAATAGAATTGCTTACCCAGAAATGAGAATGTTGAGCAGAACTGTGGTTCCAATAGCAATCCCAGCCATTTCTCCAACCTGTCACCGTCATCATCAATACCAATATAATCAATATCTATATAATCAAATAGACGTTGAACTTACGGATAATGCTTCAGACAAAGTCGGCAGCTAATTTAAAAAAAACAAAGGAAGAAATGAACTTACAGCGCGAGTATCAGTGGCGACGGCCGTGATAACGAACATAAGATTGAAAGTGATGATGGACTCCAGCACAAAAGCCTGTCCAAGACTCGTACTCACAGAAGGGATGGTGACTTCTCCGTTCACCAGCGGATGGAAGATGCCCTTGACGGTGAAGGAGGCGCAGATAGAGGCGACGACCTGAGCGAGGATGTAGGCGGGGACGTGGACCCAAGGGAAGTGGCGGAAGGCGGCGAAGGCGATGGTGACGGAGGGGTTGAGGTGAGCGCCGGAGATGTGGCCAATGGACAAGACCACGATTGTGACGGCTAAGCCGGAACAGGCGGCGTTTCCGATGAGGCCCTCAACGCCGTTGTATTTCTGGTTCAATATGGGTCCTGCTGATGCTGCAAACATCAATATGAAGGTGCCCAAAAACTCTGCTCCTGTCTGCCAATTATTAACACGTTGGTTTCTTAGTTGTGTATACAAATAAGTTTGCTGGAGAAATTAATAGTTGATGATAAACATAAGAGCTAATGATTGAGGGGTTGGATTTGATATTAAATATATGATGTCAATCTACTTAGTCTCCAAATTTTATAATGTTGTGTTTAAAATATCTCGTGATAGATATATTGCCATAATTATTGACTTTATGAGAAAGTCAGAAATTCATGGGAAGAAAAATATGGAGGTCAATAAATTGTGAGGTCACGGCGGGCTTTCAACAAGAAGCTGCGATGGATGATTAGCACATTCTAAACTCTAAGGTGCTATTTGGTACAAATTATTAAAATAAGGAATAGGGACTGGGATTATAATTAAAAAAATCATTAAAAAAATATTTAGTACGAGTAATTACTTGTTACATAGTATTAGACAAACCCATTGAAGTGGAATTGGAGAATACCACATCCCATCATGGTATTATCCAATTCCACATATATGGGTTTATCTAATCTCATATACTAAGAAATCTCTTATGCTAAACATTCTTTTAACAAGTTTTTAATTCTAATCTCAATCATTACCCATCATTTTTAATGTTTCATACTAAACAGGATCTAAAGGCATAAATAATGTTTTGCCTAAATTAATTTTATTAATATGCATTGGTCGGCAGAAATTGGCCGTGACAGTACAGTTTAGTTGGTGAGACTGAGAAGAACAATACAGTAGTATAACTTACCGAAGTTCGACATGATCCATAAAATTAAAAGGGGAAATTCACGCATATTGAATTTTTTGCATTGAGTGGGCAGTGTAAGAAGAAAACAACAAGTTGATTGATTCATGTTAAGTGAAAATAAAAGAAAATTAACGTATACCTTGCGTGAGAGAGAGGCGTTGCGAATGGCGGAGCTGGAATGAGTCCTGATTGTTGGTATACACTCACACTTTATGGGCATCGAATTCTGAGTGGATGACAGTGAGTCCACCCTTCCCGACGAGAACAGTGGCGCCGGTGTCGCCGTTGTTGATGGCGGGTCCACCTCTGAGTCTATCATTTCCCCCTCTTTTATAGTAAAAGAAAACAAAAGCTCGTTGACAAATTTATAACAAGATGAACAATAAAATTTTGGTAAAAAATGTCTGTTTGTAAAACTTAAATGCGCCAAAAAAGACATGGATTTGAGCATTCTTTTTCAGTTTTGTACAACATTTCTTACTTCTATTTTTTAAGACTTTAATTTTACATATAGTTAAAAATATGTTATATGTAAATGAAGAAAAGTTGCATAGGTCTTTGTGACAAATAAATTTCTTAAATAAGGACTTTTCACTAAATTTCCCATACAAAATGATATGCTTTAACAACTCATTTCTAATTTTTTTTCTTTTCTTGCAAATTTGAAGCATTAAAAGAAAATATTTTCGGGGTTTTCTAAGGGAGTGTATGTGAGGAGCAACTAGAGTGACATGATTGAAAGCTTTTACATATCATACCCTGTGAAACGGCAAATAAAAGGGTTTTACACACAATATTCTCGATCTGTTGTTTCACCAAAAAGAAAAATATTCTCAATCTGTTTGAGAAAAATGAAAATCTCTCTATCTATTTTTGAGATGTTTGGATTTTTCAAAGTTCCATGGATATGCAGAAGAGAAATGTTATTCCCACAAATATGGAAAATGGAAAAATATATTCCATCATTATAAATATAAATCAAGATTTGATTCATATATGCACACTTCCAACCTCACCTCGATCTGATTAATAAATAGTTATGAAGTAATTAATACCTCCTGTACGTGATTTAAAAACATGTTGGTTTCGTAGGTGCAGCAGTGAGATATATATGGAAGTAATAATAAACTGTGGGCGAAGAAGTCAATGATGAAATGATGATCCTTTAATTTGGAGCATAAACAAAGATGGGAGATACGTGTTTCTTGTTTTGCTTTTGAAATTAGGAAAAAGAGGACAGAGCTAGAGTTCTGCATAATTGATGCGAGGTTTAATATATCATCGTTTTCTATGGAAAAGAGGAAGGAGCTGCACATTAGAAAGCATTGATGGAGAACAATTTGAACAATCAAATTAATACTTAAATCGTTAGCAAAAGATTATTAGGAAACTTACCTATGGCTTCGCAGTTGGAAAAAAAAGAAGACTTGGCGTGGTATTTTCAAGGCAGCAAGTCAGCCCTTACACTTTCATTTTCGTCCATCCATGCTCTTCAATTAGGAGAAATAAAATTGAATGGAGGATGTGTTTCTGCAGAAATGAATGCAACAAATGAAGAAAATTAAAGGAAATAAAAGTAGCTAGTGAATATATGGTGATTTGGAGATGAGAGGAAAATCAAAAGCATTATGAAAGGAAGAAGAAGAAGAAGGAATGGAGGACGAAGGATGACGAAAAGCAAACTTAAGAAGAAAAGAGATCAAGGAACAGTCATGATCGATTACAAGAGTTACTTCAGCCTTCCCTTTCTTCTTCTTCTTGTTGGTTTTTTCGCCGAAAGAAAAGGAGGTCAAAGGCCTCCAGGGGAAGAACATGTGATTATTATTATTATTATTATCATCATCATTATTATTATTTGGTATTTGATTTATTCGTTGGCGTGAAGTGGTGTGACATACTCCTCCGGTCCTTATTATAAGACCCAATTTGACTTTTTATTTGGTCCTAATTATAAGACCCAATCCATTTTGTTTCTTATATTTATGCATTTTTTTCCAAGATAATCCTTCTAATAATGATAGTTTAAGCCAATATACTTAATTAGTAAGGATATTTTAAGAATGATAACACTTATTTATTATAAATAACCAACTTAACTTACTTCCTTAATCTCCTCAAATAAGTCAATTGGGTCTTATAATTAGGACCGGAGGAGTACTATACAAGTAGTTGACTTTCTATAGAACAATCCGGACACTAGCTACTTTGCTACGTTAATAATGTTTTCTTTTGTTTCCTAAATGCCAACTTATACATATAACAATATATATAACCACAAGACTTTAGAGCATCTGAAACTTAAAAAAAGATTATATATTTATATACATATAAAGGCATGTATGAATACCGTACTTTGCATATTGAGCTACATATGTGCTAATCAAGGATACAAGTCAATTTGATTAATCATGGATTGTTCAAATTCTTAATTTCCTAGTCACGTTCATATGTTACTTTTCTTTCCCAGGGCGCTCATTTCTTTATTATTCTCTCCACACCCATTAATTCTTTTCTTTTCTTTTCTTTTTCCCTGAATTATTAGGGATGTCTTGGTAGAGGAGAGATCTATATATTATTCCTTGTCTTAAAGAGAACTACTCCTCCGGTCCTTAATATAGGACCCAATTCTTGAATTGGTTTTGATCCTAAATATAAGATCCATTTCTCATATTTATCGATTTTCTCTAAATTACCCCTATAGATACTCCATCAACCATAATTAAGTAGAAGAGGGAGAGGAGGTATTAAGTAAGATGATTATGGTGTTTTAGAAAAAATGTGTCACTTTTCCTATAATTAACTAACTTACCTAACTTCCTTAATATAATCAAATTAGTTAAATGGGTCTTATATTAAGGACCGGAGGAGTATTTCCGTTAATAGAACTAATAATTTACATACATATAAAAAGATAAAATACACACAAACATATTGAAAAGAACATTGAATAAATTAAGGTTTATTGATCGGCTTCATTGGAAATAAAGCAACCTGGGTGTTTATTTAATTAATTATTCAAGTCAATTGAAGGTGGTGATGATGATGACAAACTAAAAGCGTGTTGTTAGTTGTCATCTCATGTTGATGTGCGGTTGAATATTCAAAATACTACCCAACTTGATGGAAACAAGATAGCATAATCTACATGTGATCATAAATATAAGACTCATTTCATAATATTATTTTTATTATAAAATGAGTATTATATTTAAGACCGAAGGAATACAAAATATTTGACTTAGTGTAATGTATATACTATCTCAAATTCTTAATATAAGAGTTAATTTGACTTTTAATTTGGTCATAAATATAAGATTTTAATTTTCTTTATCTCTTATATTTATCTATTTTTTAAAAAATAATTTTTGTAATAATTGCACATGTTAAAAATTTTATCAAATAGTAATTCTAGTTAATACACATGATTATCAATAATATTCTAAGGAAGGCAACACCTATTTATTATTAATAGCTAACTTAACAAACTTATTTAATAGATTTAAATTAACTTAGTTAATTAACTGTTATATTAAGGACGTGAGGTAATATATTACTATTTATTTATTCTATTTGAAAGTATCGTCAGTCATGGAATAACAAAACTACAAGCAGCTAAAGCCCGTATGTTCGAATATCAATGGTACAAAATGGGGTTGAAAAGATCAAGCTTAGATAATTCAGTCTAACAGAAGTCCTGAAACAACCACGCCTAAAAACTAGGTTATATGTTTCGATAACTAAACACACCCTGACTTTAGATTTTGTGTAACTTGATCCAAAACCCCCCTCCCAAAAAGAAATGTCCAATTATCCCGCAAATCACATTATTTTTTTAAAATTTTTCATAGAAAGAGTATATATAGATATCTTTGTATGAAAGTAAAAAAATTGACATGTTGATTAAGATATGACAAGCATCTAACAAGAATGACCTCTTGTGCATCACATTGAGAGTCTCTATTTTTAAGGGTTATAGACCCATTTGGATTAAGAATAGAAAAAATAGTGCATTTTTAATTTTATTTTTAAAAAAATTAGATTAATTAATGTGACTTATGTTTGAATTGATTTTTATAAATAAGTTAGTTTATAAAAGTAGAGGTTTTTTGGATTATAATTAAATAAGCAAGTTTACTTTATAAAATTACTTTATTAAATAATAAAAAATGAAAAAAATATCAGCTTACATAATATAATAATTTTAAATTATTTTAATAGTAAGAAGTTAAATGTAATGAATAAAATATATTTATATTAGAAATCTGTGAAAATTTTTAAACCAAATAATATCACATAATTAATAAAATGATGTATTTGTATACAATTTATGTAAATATAAAATAAAAAAATAATTTTAAAAATTAGAAATATTATTAAAAAAAACTATGTTAAAAGAACATATATATATATGTATATATAGGAGGAGACGGCCTGTTAAGATAAGGGAGAAGAGGGAGAACTTGACCAGAAGCATGATGAGAAAAGCAAAAAAAAGAAAAAGAAAAGGAATAAATTTACAAAATCGCACTATTAAAAGTAATTTTTAGCCCATAAATTAAATAGGTCAGAAGCTAATCCAAACAATCCCCATCTCCTCCAAACATGCTTAGCCCAAAAACTATTTTTTCGTAGTCAGATTACCGTACCAAACAGACACACAGTAAATTTCACAGTATTTTTATTCAATTCTGATACGCATGATTATTTTTTCGGGTGAGATGATTATTTAATGTAATATAATCATGTTGATACCTGCATAAATTTTGTTTCGAGAAAAGATACATATATAAATTATGTTGATATGAAAATGAACAACACATAAAAAAAAATCAAATAGCATAATAATTAGCAAATTTATAGACTACTAATAGACAAGGAGCCTCTCCTCATCCCTCATCTTCCTTTTTAATCTTTAAATTAATATTTTAACACTTGAGGCTGTGATCTTTTAAAAATTATTATTAAAATATTAAATTTAATAAATAATAAAACATAACTGTTAAAATTTAATTTTAAAAGTTTACTAATACACAACTTTAAAAAAATATTTTATACATAAGTTTTAAAAATATTAATAAAATCTTAATCATTAAAATACGTCGGTTTAACTGTTTAAAAAAAAAAGGAAAAGAAAAAGGATGTGAAGTAAAAGTAAGTACATCAAATTTCAAAAAAAATTTCTAGGCCCGCGGAAACAGCGTCTCTTCCTCTTCCGCAACAATGGCGCCCACCATCTTCATCGCGGTTCAGTGCTTCCAATGCTCCACTATGCAGGTACTCTCTTCTCGCTTTCTCGGTCTCTCTCTGCTTTCTGTGACTGGATGACACACGGTCGATGACTCGATGGAGTTCAGGTGAAGCAGAAGAAGAAGAGCAGCAATAAATGGAGCTGCGCTGTGTGCAATCAGAAACAGTCCGTGACCAAAGTCTTCGCTCAGGGATTCATGGCCAAAGACATCCGTGCCTTCGTCCAGTCCTTCAATATGTCTCGTAAATCCCTCGATGAACAGTCTCTCTTTTCCGGAGCTCTATCTCCCGCTCTGGATGAGCAGATCATAAACCGTGACGACGATAAGTTCAACCTCTCCATGAATCAGAGGAACAAGCGAAGCGATTGGACCGAGTACCTAGATCCAGAGGATAATCACATCCAAGGGCGACAAGAAACGGAACAGGATGGTCATTATTGATTTTCGGATTAAATCGGGTTTATATTCGTTTAGGTGAATTCAATCTGTTGTGATTATATGATTTGACTTTGATTCAACATAGGTGATGGTTTTGAGGTGAAGGTTGTGACGGAATTGGAGAGGAGCATGTTCAAGAAGCCTAGATTGCAAAATTACTCCCCTGGGTTGGCTGGTGAAGATAGTGACAAGCTTTGCAAGCCTCGTTTCCCAAGGAGGAATGCCAACAAAAAGATCGTTTCGCAAGGTACCAGGACAATTGTTTGGCTTTGAACAAAAAAAGAATAATTGTTTGAAAACCATTGCTTCTCTGTTTGCTTTACGAGCTTTAGCTTATCTCACTCACTAGTGGGTTATGATTAATAAATGATCATAATAAATATGTACTTGACATTATACATTCATTTTTTATGTGATTTCAAAATTCACTTTCCATATTCATCCTGATGCAGAGGAGAGAGTGAAGGGTGAGAACAATTACAAGGAACCAGATGATCAGAGATCTCAGAAATGTCAACCAACAATCAGCAAAGCAACCTCCAAATGGAAGGATTACATGACTGAGGAAGATGACAGCCTCCAACTTGGATGGAAGAGAGCTTCCAGAGACCATGCAGATCAAGGGAACAACAGTGTGTTAGAGGCCATGACTAATGAGGAAACGGTAGACGAAGATATCCACCCAGACTTCATGTGAATTATATTCCTATCTTAACCTGAATGGCATTTTTATGGAAGGAGGATGACAGGGAGTTTCAGTTTTGCTTTTGATACTTGGAGGACTCCCAGCTACAGAAACTGTTTGAATGCTTCTCCTTCTCTTTGGAAGACCCAAGACACTTCTCTCTTTCGGTGTATTTGTCATGTTAAGTGATCAGAACTCAAATTGGTGCTTCGGTTTCGCGTGAACAACTCAATCTGACAACCGGATTTGAGGTATGCTTCGAAAACTTTTATCCAAATAAACCAAGGAAAAATCACTGGACTAGAGCCTAGCCCTGCAATTTTTTTCGCAGGCACAAACTTATTGAGATAATTAGTATATTCGGGAACTTTGAAAAATTAATTTGAACGGACTCGCTTATAAAAAATAAAAATAAAATTTTAATTGTAACGACATTCAAATTTTGGAGAAAAAAGAACAATATTTGTAATTAAAATGTTTTTAAAATTAAAACCGTTAAATGCTCAAATAAAAAACATTAAACTCGTTAGATATAATTCATATGAAATGGGGCACATCTTACTCCCCATCTGAGCTTTCTAGTTCGATTTAGAGCCGTTTGTTTGATATGAAAAATATTTTTTCAATAAATTATTCTAAGAAATTCTAATATGTTTGTTTAAACTTATAAAAACAAATAGATGATTTTTTTTAAAAAGAAATTCAAGAGGTATTTTTTTGAATTCCTTTTGATTAAGAGAAAGTGGTTTTATAATTATAACGAACTTTTGCTGTTTATAAAATCTTTAGTCCGCAAATAGTGTTTTAAATAATATAAAAATCACAATAAAAAAACAAATGGCTGATGGATTTGGATTATGCAGATTTCGCCCCGCTCTTCAAATTCTATAATTTTTCGGTTTGACTCTAATTTTAAAAGAAAAAAATTAACCTTTTTAATCATACAACTTTTAATTTACTTGTAACTTAGTTTCATTCAGTTCTTCAACTATTAAAAGAAAAAAAAAATATTTAACTCACTTATAATTTGATTTTTTAGTTATGACTTGTTATGACTTAATTATGACCTACTGTGATTCAGTTTGATTCTTTAATTTTAAAAGAAAATATTTTTTTTTTGACCGGAATTTTAAAAGAAAATATTAATCTTTAATTTTTCAGTTTTTATCTCACTTATAACTTAATTCTTCAATTATGACTTGTTATGATTTAATCTCTAAATTTTTAACACAGTTACTTAGAAGCAAGTCAAAAGTTTAGAAACTGAGTAACAACAAGTCATACTTATGGGATTAAATTATAAGTAAAAAATTGAGTGATTAAAAGATAAATTTTTTTGTATATTTTTAGTCATTTAACCCTAGAATCATTAAATGATATATTTTGTAATAATGATAGTATTTTCAAAAATTAAATTTAATATATTATTATCTAAGAATATTTTATAAACATTTTAAAATATGAATATCATTATTTTGACTAAAATATTTATTTATTTCTTTAATTTTATATAAAATTTCAATTTAATCCTTTAATTTTGGAAAACATACTTTTAATCATTTGACTTTGAAATTACTAAAAAAAATGATGACAATAAAATCTTAAATGTTAATAAAATACTTAGTGTGATTTTTAAAACAACTATGACTCTTACACAAAGTAATCATTTGAGCAAGAATCAAAAATATATTATTTAAAAGATCAAATTAAAATCTTATATAAAGTTAAATGAACAAATATACACCTCAACCCATTATTTCTTGCTAATAATTTTAAAATTTAAAAACTAAATTAAAACATATAAAGTTTAAAAGACAGAGCAAAGTTTTACCCGATTTTTAGTATCATTGAAGAGACGAGACATAATGAAGTAAATTTTCAACGTTTACAACATTCTTCATTCTAATTTATATTTATTCAACATAGAAAAATATAAAAAGATGCCAAACAAGTAAAGGATCGACTTAATAATTGAATTTCCCTGTTGATGCGTAATAAACATTATGTCCAACAAAAATACATACCAAGACATCATCTGTTCCTTGGTTTTCTAATGCTCAGAATTCCGGGCGGAGGAATTCAGGCACATCAAGAGGCGCTAAGAAGGCCATACAAAAACACAAGAAACTGTACAAGAAATCATAGGACCTGTGATTGCATTTCGGTCATCTGTCTGAATTGGCTGCTTGATGGCACAAATCCAATCAACAAACAGAGTGCGAATAAAAGAAAAGCAACGTTGACTGGAAAAAAATCCAATTTAGATCAAAATATCAATAGAATCATAGTCAGGCTAATGATCTAAATTCTCAACTGCCAACTCCAAATCCAATGAAATCCAATGATAAAATGGTCTAAATTCAAACAAGTAATTGCTAAGACCAACACAACCAGATTCTTTGTCCCTCGGGAATAACTGGAATCCTCCACGCCAAAAAACAGATCCTCAGAAGAATGGTGCTGTGGAAGGCTCTCAAACAATGATAGCTCACTGCCCAGGAAAAACGGCTCAATCTGTACGAAGCTAGCTCTACAATCAAAATTGCTTCCTTCATCCAGTAACAGCGAGCCAAGCTGTTCAATGTCGGTACGCCATGCAGTTTCACGCAGGCATTGCCTCAGACCCCCTCATGTTCAATCAAATCTTCAGGAGAAAGAATGAAGTGGATCACAAAGAATTCATCCGTTGGTCTAGATTTGAAAATAAATAACACCATATTGAAAATTATAATTAATTATCAGTTTTTTTTTTGGGGGGGGGGGTAAAGCTAATATCAATCACTTCACAGCGGCCTTCATCAGGAGGATCAGCCCAACAAGCCCATACAATCCGATGGAGACAACAAAAATACCTACCTAATGCTCAGCCAGAACTACCAACAAACTAGAATCTCAACAAAATTTTTATTTTCTGCCACATCAAAATACTGGTAAAGCATTCGGACTATTTTCAAATCTAGCAACTCTTTCTTGCCCTCTCATGACACGGATGCCCCAGCAGTGGTCTGTTTAGCCACATAGATTTGCTTCACCTTTGATGTTGAAAAACTTTTATCTGCACCCAAAGTTTGGTTTCTTCCTTGCAACCCCATCCTTCGGCTAGACCACTCGCCCCCAGAACTATTTTTCTGAGAAACAGATCTCTGATAATTAGTATACCCTGAAGAATGATCATACTGCTGAGATGTATTATTTTTTTCCAAGGGCTGACTCTTGAAAGCAGCACTTGCATTCTGACTATTGCTATTGCTGCCATTGCCACTCTGAACATCAACCTTGGCAGCATCTGCAATAATGCTCACGGATGGAGTCTTGATGACACTGCTCAGCGCTGATTGCTTAGCAGCTGAGGTGTTTGAAGGATCCACTAGTCCAAGTTCATCTGGCAACCGGTTAAAATTTACACCAGCTCCTGTAGGAAAATTCCTATCACCATCAGAGGGGGCAGACGTTTGAGAAGTGGGAAACCTATCGACACTCATAGGTTGGTCAACAGATGGACCATGACTATACTGCGAGGTATGCGCTCCTTCCTGCAGTGGCATTGACAGAGGAATAGATGAAAGTGGCGAATTAGGGGCATGCGTCCATCGAGCTTGAGCTGACATTTCAGGTGAAGACTGGCACAAGATTTCACACAAATGCTAAGTAACCCAAACAAAACTGACCACTTAACACAACTAATCGCAACAGAGTAAATTGTGTTAAACTTCATTATCATTTTGTGCATAATTGACTTGTAATAAAACTAACGTTCGCTGGAATTATGCTACTCTTCCACTGTAATACTGCAAAAACAAGCATTGAAACTAAATATGTCCACTTAAGATATTGCCCCTAAATCACTTATCAACAGTTTACCTGGAAAGGAGACATATCAAACATGGCCAGAGGAGAAGCCATCGGCACAAGTGGTGAACCAGGGGCAAGATGCTGAATTGGAGCAGTGATGTTGACAGGATTCCTCTGAGACGGTGCCATATTCATATTGTTCATATCTCCTTCACCGGCACCTGTTGCAGATGATGTGGAGTTGTGCTTCCAATCAGACTGCTGCTTACCTGACGGGATATAGGTGGCACCCATGAAACTCAAACCGACCTGTCCATATTGTCCAACAGGTGCAAAATGGTTATAAACAACCATGTGTGGCGGTGGTCCCTGGACACCCGGGATCCCTCTGGGGGGAGTAATAAAAGGGCCACTAAATCCAGCTGCAGGTCCATAAAAAGAATCAACACCAGAATGGCATTGTTGCCAGCTGCTAATTGGCCCTGATGCTTGCATGCTATTCTTTTGGGACTGTGGTTGTGCTGTAGATGCAGACTCATCATGTGGTCCGAAGGCAAAAACAGGACCACCCATCATAGGATTCATGTCGTAGAAGGGAAAATGTGGAGGAGGGCCCCCAGGAAAATGTGAAAGCATTTGGCTTGAATTTTGCAGAGCTGGTAAGGGCGGCCATAACGAAATTGGTGGAGTCTCAACAGATAGATCTGCAGGAAGAGATACACTCAGAGGCTCTTCAGATCTAGCTTTACTAGCTGATTGCTGATTACTAGCAACCCCTGCCAAAGAAACTCAACAAAATAAATATCCAGATTGGTTTATGTTACATAAGCATATCCCCAGAAGAGTAAAGATAGGTCATTAAGGACAGATAAAACATTCACCAGCAGCTATGCCATCAATATCTGCAGCTCCATAACTTCTAGCTTCTGAAACTGAGATTGAAGTACCCAAACCATTTACAGCAATCTCATCACTGCTGATCGCAGCAACAGCAACAGCTGAAGCAGCTGCTTCAGCTTCAGCTTCACAATCTTCTAAGTTGTCATGAGATCCATTGTTGTGTTTCTCTTTATCATAGAAAAGACTGCAATCATGATCAGATGCAGCAGGGTTATGTGATATTTGCATGTTTGACATGGATGATGAAGGGCCAATTCCATGAGACAGTGCATGGCCACTAGGTGGAAGTATTGTTGGAGATGTTACAGCTCCTGAATAAAGAAACATATCTCCTTCATAAGCAAATCAATAGAATTTTCAGAAATATTATTTGAACATAAACAGCATTGCCATTAAAGATTTAATTGCTTACCAAACTGGATTTTCTCTCCAGCAAGCAAGGAATTGATTGGGCTCGCAACAGAAGAAAATGGTTTTTCTCTTGTCAAGATGGATGATGTCGGCAAGCTGGGCTTACTATAGTTCACCGTCAGATCTCCTCCAGAAGCCTGGGAATCAAACTGTTGAGGCTTCATAGCCTCATCAAATTGCCTCTG